AAAAAATGAAGGTAAACATTTCATCTTCTGGTAAATTTGACTACTAATTTCTTACTATCTTGACATCACTTTACTCTTACTCACAGAAATTTGCTGAAAGTATTGAGAAAAAATTGTTAGGCTGTCTAAAAGGTATGGTACTCGGAATATGCAAAGATGCCACAATGCAGTATCGGCTGCAAACTCTATCTGATCAAGTAAAGTCGAAAGTTGTGACAAAATTAAAACGGGAGTTAGATGAAGGTTTACTTAAGGTAAGTTCACTTAGATCCATTCCGTATGTTGGATCTCACATTTTTTTAAATATATATAGCGAGTAACTGGTGCTATTATTATGGACTTTAGGTGCTACTAAATTCAATTGAATACTTGGATGATGAGGAACTTGTTGAAGCTATTTCGTTAGTGCTAGGTTTATCAAGAGATGACGATGCCATACGCTCGGTATAAATCTGTAATGTTATTGTGTGAATTTGAATATTTAATTTAAAATTATGAATGTATGTTTGTGTTCAAATAAGCTGATCTGGATACAAGAACTACTGAATAAAAATATTTTTAATTTTATTGAGTACTATCTACTAGTAGATGTTTATTATCTTTGGTTTATATTGGCAGGCCGTGAAAGAAATATCTGCTATGGCGAGTAAGATAGGATTCATTTCTCCGGGGTAAATTTTAGAGAAAGTAATTCATATACGATATCAGTTTTGAATTTAATTTGAAAGCGGTATCATTTATTTCGAATTGCACGATGTTATAGGAGTCGTACCAGTGAGCGGTATCCAGTTATATTAATTCTGGATAAGGTAGTGAACTTATACCGATATATTTGTTAACTAATAAGGCTACTTTAATATATTAAACTACTTAAATTTTATAACTTTTAGCATCTGCAACATCTGCCATGGGAAAATATCAGCATTTTGCGACCTCATCCTGTATCAAGGATGCCATCCTTACCCTTCGTTCTTTCACACTTTTCTGATGTGCGAACATTTCTGATTTTATTTTAATAACACACACACACACACAAATTAATTAATTATGTTCGTTTTTCCTATCACTTTTACGTATGTCTCGATACCTAGTTGTCCAGAGTTGATTATCGGGTAAATTTAAAGAACACCTTTTATATACTAAATCCAAGAAATGATTTACCATCTACAGAAAAAGCATTTGGACCATTTTTTAACTCGTAAGTATTTTATAAATTTCTTGGTAGTTGTTTTTCTTAAGACTGTGACTAAAATATACGATGTTTCCTAGGAATAAGTGGAAAGGAATTATTGCCAGAATTCCTAACGAAGAAGAATTTGGAGCTGCGCTAACAGACAATGATTTTTTCATGTAATTATAAAGACTTAAGCTCAGCTTTTAATCGAAATAATGATAGTTAATACTGTACATTTGATGATTTCATTTACAGATACTGCGGTCACGGTTCCGGTGCAGATTATTTGAAGGGCGATTGTATTCAAAAGCTAAATTGCAAGGCAACCACACTACTAATGGGGTGTAGTAGTGGGAAGCTTAAGGTTTGCATGCGTACTGTTTGATAGTGCGAGCTAGTATCTATTATTCTTTAGCGCCGTAAAGTAACGCGAAATATAACATTTATCTTGATTTATTAACTATTCAGGTTTCAGGTTTACTAGAGGCAAATGGCATGGCAATGACTTACTTGTTAGCTGGATGGTAACTTATTAAATTGTTTATTTACATTTCTAATCACATATACATTCAATTTATGTTGCTGTCTATATTTTTATTTAGTCCATGTATTGTTGCTAACATGTGGGATGTTACGGATAAAGATATCGATCGATTTACTATGCACCTTATTCAATCTTGGATGAACGATTCCGGTAATGGATCCTTGCTAGAACATATTCATGCTGCAAGAAATGTTTGTAAATTAAAATACTTGGTCGGCGCTTCCCCAGTAGTATATGGGATACCTATATGCCATGATTAAGAATGACAGTCATATCACAGAGATGTACTATTGCAGATTTTAACCGAAGGCTTAACGGTCGATATATATGTTGCTTTGCTATTAACGAATCTTTTATTAGAATTTATGTACGTTGCCAGTGATGTTCTTTTGACTGCTAAAGTCGTTGCTGTATGATTAATAACTAACACGTATTTCGTTTAGTGACAAAAAATAAACTAATTAGCATTTATTAGCTTTAAATTGATGTTTACTTGATAGATTGTCATTCCCAATCAATAATTATTACTATCTGTAAAAATTTTGAGGAAAAAGTTGTGGCAAATCGCTACATTTAATTAATGTAATATATCGTTGATGTTTTGGGGTATGAAAATCATCAATACCTTTGCTGTCATGTATTATTGATGCACAGAGATTAATCATTGTATTAACTGTATATGAATTATAAACATAATAGGAAAATTTGCATTGCAATTCAATCCGATTTAGCGTGCCCATTTATTTATTGAAAGCGTTGTTGCTTTTATGATGAAATAAAAATAAAATTAAAAATAGTTTTTAACAGTTGGATTTAAATTATAAAGTGTTGTCAATAATCTAATTTTGCTGCGCTTTATTAACGATGATTCCTTAGGTTTGATATCGTATTGTGATCGGAGACATATTTATTAAAATTATCCGTGTTAATATGATAAGCACTGACTACTTCTGTATCAGGAGCATGATAATTTGTGAATTGATTTTCACGGAACCACGGCTAAATTCATGTATTTAATTTACAGCATGGCAATAAACTACAATTCTTTCATAAATTGAAGAGTAATTCACAGGTGGTGACATGATATAATCCATTGTAATTTACTGTAGTGGACACGAAAGTTCCAGTATATAAATTATTTGTTATATTTTCGTAATAACTACAAATTATATAATTAAATATCAGCCAAGTTGCGTCCTCGAAGACCTTATGAAGATGTAAGTTGTAGATATATTGTACGTATGCTAGTAATTATAATTATGCGCAGCCTTAATAAATTATAATTTATGACTGATGCAAAGTTGGTACGCCGATTATTGTACGTATTCATGGTAAGTTATTTAAGCGTCAATAACAAGTGTTACGTCATTTATCTGCAATTCTTAGGGATACGCGTATTATCCATATTTATTCGCGTTATAAACTAATTTTCGTATATTACTATGTATACTTACACATATTTTTGAAGAAATTTAACTTAAAATCTTTCATAGCTTATATTTGATTATTTTATCAATTTAACGTTACCCTTATTATTTAAACTAACAGCATGTCTGAGAATAAGTTGACAATATGTATACAGCTGTTATAGCCATTGACGTAATATAGCGGGTAAAACTTTCGACTTGATAATATTAAGGAGTTCACTATAATATTGAAGTCTGTTAGCTAGTATTCTTAAATTTATACGTCGTCGGTAAACTGAGACTCGATGCCTACAATAGAATTATACCTAGATGTATACAATATTGTGACGCATACTACCGTCGATTTAGCTGTAGTCACTATCAGTGCCACATTTTGATGTACTTCATGGCTAAATGTTCCGTAGGCTCACGGAAGATAAAAACTTCCCTGGAGTACAAGATGTTATATAGTATAGTATAACATGTATAGTATAGTATATACACGTGTACATAGTATAGTAATGTATAGTCATAGTAACTGCTGTATACTAGCAGTAAGTACTATACAGTACAGTACAGTACAACTACGCAGTAGGTACTGTAGATGACAACGCTTTACACTGTAAATTACTACAATCAGACTTGCAAGCGCTACAGTATTAAGCTTGTCTTCATAGAAACAAGTAAAACAACTGTACTGTACGGTGTTAAGGTTACTATGGTGATATGGCAGCGGCAGCTTCCTAACAAATCTGTAAAATATACAGAGACTACCAAGATATCAAAGAGACAGAGAGAGAAATAATACTTGGTAGAATCGAGAAACAACGAAATCTAAAATTAGAGGAGGCACACATCAGTATAGTATATAGCTGCAATGGCCGACGATCCAAATTATTACTTGGAACGTATCCTTCTGTGCGTTTAGTTTTAAGCTCCAGCAAAATTTAAATCGTATAGTTTAGTATCCCATTATAATTCACTAGTTATCATTTAGAATTGGTCAATGATTGACATTCATTGCTTTGACAATCTGCAGCACTAGCTATATGCTTTGTGAAATATTGTTGCTAAAACTTGATCGTGGATTCGTCTGTACTCATAAATTCGTATTGATAAATGTGATAATAATTGATTTTACGAGAAAGCTCTATCATAGCTAGTGAACCTACATAAAGCTTTCTGTAATCTACTATTCCTTTCGGATGAATACACATATACTTTGACTTAACATCAAATTCTAAACAGAATTATCCATCGAAGACGATAGTGAAGACGGTTTCCAGTATGAAGAGGTATAATACTATGATGATTTTATTGCAATGGATAGCGTCGAAAATTTGAAATTGGATAGAGGCAATGATGCATGTATTCTTCACTACCTAAAATATCATTTAATAGGTACCTTATGATGAAGTCGATTCGATATCAGGTCAGTCTAAATGGCATCTATTTTAATGTTGTCTAATCACAGTATGGGTAAAAATTTTATGGCCTTGAGTGGATACTGTACACTAGTTTATTAATGCCTACCAATATCTATACTATCGTAGATGGCGAAGAAAACTTAGATAAAGCTGTTAAAAATTTACAAGAAAAGAAAGAAGACTCTAAAGCAGCGGTAAGCATAGTCATAAAGACTGTTTTTAAAATAGGATGGCTAAGATGTTTATATTTTCATGTTAGTAAATACCCCCACTTTTTTAACTTAATAATTAATTATAGCAAACGGTTGTGCCGGTACCCGTAGCCAAACTTCAAAAGGTAACTCACGACCTAATCCTATGTTATAATCTTCAACAAATTGATATTCGTTAACCTATAATCTAAAGTTTACAGAACTTTTTCAATTGCAATTATTTTTGTTTAAAAGCGTCCAGAATTAATTGATGACTTCGTCCGAAATTTCTTCGTGAAGATGGGATTAACACGTACTCTAGATTGCTTTCAAACCGAATGGTAAACTTTTTACTGAAATGTGTAGCAATAGTCGACAATAACTAAATTTAATCAACCTTACTACCAAAACTCTACACTGTTTAGGTATGAATTGATGCAAAAAGGACAGTTAAACCCAGAAGATGTTAGCGTGGTGCCCGATATTTACACAAAGTACTAGAAATTTGCAATCTTCAATTCCAGTATCTCTATTTAGGAATAGCTTTTTCGTTATAACTTAAACAAAGCGAAGTTCAAGATGAGGAATTTCACACGATTACAACATATTAATTGAATGTATTAAATTTATTTTAGAAATGATCTATTGGATCAAGATATCAAAGTTCTTCATGGCGAGGTGGAGAAATTCAAGACAGCTGCACAGTAAGCAAATTATTTTAATGCAAATTACCTCAGCCCTTCGGATAAATTGTATTTTCAATTAGCGAAAATAGTTTTCTATATGATTGGATTAATCAAGATATGTTTTAATGATTAATATCACTGGAATAAAGGTTCTAAGTACTACTAATGTATATCAGTGATATATATATATATATGATTAGTATAACTGCACCGAGTATTATACATGAAAAGTAGTTAGATTGATGCCATACTAGCAGATATAGCCCAACAATAAGACTTAAAATTCGTTTAACACATTAATGAAAGACTTTACTATTCTTTCTTGAAATTATAACGTGACATTCAAATTAGTTACACTTAGTAACATGCCGCTAAATTCACTTGCTTTCAGAAATGCAAAACAAACTTACATTAGATTACGCAAAGAGAGGGACTATCATCGTATGCATCATCAAAGAGTTGCTCAAGAAAAGAATAAATTAATATCCGATCTTAAAAAGTGAGCTTTTCAAATTGTTTGAAATAAATTCATACGCAATGAACTGTTTAAGCCACGTCTAATTCATTGCTGCGAACTTATTTTAAATTAGATTAAAAAAGCATTATGCACAATATGAACCAACACTGACTCAATTACGACAGAAATACGAGGTAATAAGGCTATTTTTAGAACAGATTCTCAATTTACTCCTGAACGCAAATGAATTGTATCTGTTATTTGAAAGCTTATTTAAAGCACTAAATTTCATGTTATCCATTAATAGACGGCAATGAGAGAAAAAATGTTAACACGGTTGGAACGTGATCGAGTGGTTAATCAGGTAGTTTATTTTATAGTATTTTTCATCAGGCATATTCTTATAACAAAATCTTGTCAGTTAATGAGATAGAGTAGGCCAATCTCAACAACTTAATCGTAAAATTATACTTTGCAGCTGGTTAGGTTGCAAAATACCCTTAAGAATGCTGATCAAGGAGGAGAAATAACATGTAATGAAATTGAATAGATATATCTAGATGTAGATACTCAATAATAGTATATACTTATATATATAGTTGTATAAATAGTCAAATTATAATCGAATGACAGTAAAGTTTCTTTTACAGCTATAATTAATGCTGTTTTAATCGAGCCAAATCTCATTATTTTAGCTCTACAACAACAAATGGCTACTATTCCGCCTTTAACCGCTACTTCTGCTGCTACTGATCTACCTGGTAAGGCTTATCCACTTTCTTCTCAGAAATCGTTGGCTTCCCATGCTACAGGAGAAAATCGTAGTAATGAAGCAGTCGTCCAGCGATCGCCAGTAGAAGACAAATTATCACCAAAACAGCAGGTTCAAGACTGTCCTACTTAGTCAATACTGTTTTTTCTGAGGATGTGATCATCGTCCTACTCACCGTCTGTTTCATATGTAGGATTCAGAATTTCCTCCCGATACTGGCATTAATCCCTACTTGACCATGCAAAAATCGCCATGTATCCATTTAACAAGAGCTGGCGGATTACGATTAAGTAATACTATCGAAGCTCATGATATGGCCGTCAGTGGGATTGCTATCCATCCACGTAAGAAGATTGTGGCAACTGTTAGTGATGATAATAAATGGAAAATGTGGGCAATACCAAGGTAGGCCAGCGATCTTTCGGTCTATTGTGATTGCGAATTTTTTTTAAGATTGTTTGTATATTACCTTAAATTGTTGACAAAAAATTTCAGTTTAAAATCATGGCATGAATGATGATATTCCTTATTTGATAACGCTATGAATATTATTACCCTAGTTCAATTATGGATACTTAACACCTTTAAAGTCAAGACTTAAATACTGATATTTCTTATGAGATAACGCTATGAATACTATACCAGTTCAATAGCGGATGCTTAATACCTTTAAAATCATGATATGAATACTGATATTTCTTATGTGATAACGCTATGAATAGTATGCCAGTTTAATAGGTGGATACTTAACACTTTAAAATCAAGACATAAATATTGATATTTGATAACACCATGAATATTATATCAGTTCAATAGTGGATAATTTACACCTTTGAAATCATGACAAAAGCTACAGATATTTCTTATTTGATAATGCTATAAATATTCTACAAGTACAATATTGAATGCTTATGAATTTTTCATAATTGATAGCGGAGAGGCCGTTATGACTGGTGAAGGTCATACTGATTGGATATCTGATTGTTGCTTCCATCCTGATGGAACTAAATTAGCAACAGCATCAGGAGATACTACGGTTAAAATATGGGATTTTTCTAAAGCTAAATGTACGCAAACATTTAGTGATCATTCTCATGCTGTTTGGGGAGTTTCTTGGCATACTTGTGGCGATTTTATTGCATCGTGTTCTTTAGATCATACAGCTAAAATTTGGGATTTAAATAGGTAATACTTTTGCTATAGCATTTTCTCTGATACGTGTGCCTAAGTTTATAAAGAGTTCTAGAAATAAGCTATGTCTTCATCTGACTATGATCTTATGCCACTATTTTTTTACTCTCGATAGTATCCGTTGCCGCACTACATTGAGAGGTCATACTGACTCAGTCAATAGTGTTTCTTTTTTGCCGTTTTCAAATACATTGGTATCAAGTTCGGCGGATAAGACTGTATCATTATGGGATGCTAGAACTGTAAGTTAAGATCTGTAATTCATCACAATAGTTAATAATTGGTAGATCACTTATGATACTTGAAGTTAGAAGTAATAGATCGGAGCGGTATATATATATATTCTTGTACGTTTTATCATTTATTTATCATGGTCATTTATTCGATCCAAGGGGCTATGTGTACAAACATTCTACGGCCATATGCATTCATGTAATGATGCAGTTTTCAACCTAAAGGTAAGATGTTTAAAAATTACTGAGGGCGTATCGAGTAATTACTGTAAACATCGATGTAAACTAGTAGATATTAAAGGGTAGAAATAGACGGCTGAGATTTAATGTGATAAGGTGCTGTTATTTTTGATATTATAAGGGCGATACCATTGCGTCGTGTGATGCATACGGAATCGTAAAGTTCTGGAATATAGCAACATCATCAATGCAGTTATCTGTTGATGTTGGTCCTCATTCTGCTAACAAGATTGCGTTTGACCCAACAGGTAAGATTATTTCTGTATAGGCATAAGAACGATGGAGTAGATGTACTATTTACGAAAGAGTATTTAATCATCCTTAGTGGCTGTATTAATAGATCATACTCTTATGACAGCAGTATCAAGGTCTTACTTTAATATTAGTTAATAAAACTACGAGAATGAAATTAATGTGGTGTAATTTTGAGTTTATGTTGCTTGTTTCATACAAGTAATTTGTATTTAAGTGTTATATAAATGAGTTTATCTTTTAGTTGTACCTTACTCTCGTTTCATCTTAAAGGCTATATTAGAACATCATATTCTTATGGCGGAAGTATCAAAGTCTAACTGTAATATTTGGTTTATGAAACACTAGAATAGAATTAATATGGCGTAATTTTCAGTTTATGATGCCTATTTTATACAAATTTTTTGCGTGTAAATGTTATATAAATGAGTTTGTCTTATAATGACATTTTACTCTCATTTTATTCTTCTCCTATCGATACATCAGTAACAAATTCGTTTGACATCATTGCCAATACAGCCAATTGATTTTCCATTCCATTTACTGATCATCATTTTATAATGACCAAATATAAACTATAATCCTATGAGAATATGCTTGCCACAATCATCAAATTCCTGTATTTTCTCTTTTAAGGTGTCTTACTCGCAGTAGCCTCCAATGATGGTAGTATTAAGATGGTTGAAGTAAATACTGGAAAGGTATGCAATCATGACATGTACAGTACATCAAGATTAAGCAGTGTTGATAAACTGAGCATTTTGAATGTTTTCTTATGATTCTTTGCATCATTGGTTAGGTTACGACATTAAATGGCCATGAAGATGCTGTGCAAACGGTTGCTTTCGATCAAAGTGGTGAATATTTGTTATCGGGAGGATCCGATGCTACTATCCGTATTTGGTCATAACCATAAATCCATATTACTATAGGATGGATCAGTGTGGATCAAAGGCATAATAATGAATTATTTTTACAATTTTGGATATAATGCTAAGCAGTGTAAATATCGATACTGGAGGTGTATAGAGAGGATAGATTAATACACAGGACGGGACTAGTCTGATTATTTCTCATTGCATGGATCTTTCTAACCTCCAATAGTAGCAAATTTTTTGTAAAAATTGTGCTATTGCTTATTCCTTAATATCAATAATCCATAGTGGTAGATTATGGTAGTGAATCTCACTTAATATAATGACTAATATTCGGATGGATGTCGTTGTAGACATACTGAAAATTGCCTATGTGCATATAGCATGTAAAACATTGATATTCAAATTTGGCTCTAATTTGGATATGAAGACTGCAAAATAATAAACGTCAAGGGTATTACAAGTAGAATTGACTGTAATTTATTTGGACATGAAAACTCACCCTTTAAAGTTGATTTTAAAAGGGGTGTAAGATTGATTAACGTATTCATTTGGTCTATTGACTGATATTGTGTCGCAGCAGTGCACAGGATGCGATTGATTAGTTTAGAGATGTGGTAATAGCTATTAGATAAGGGATAAATTATTCCCTTGCAGATCGAGTTTGGCTAATTAAGTCTGTATCATATTATCTGTTATGGATTTTAAAGTTGGCTCCCTTCCAGCTAGTCATAATCTATTGCCCTGTCTCTTCAAACACATTCGTAATATAGAGAGCAAATCGTATTGCTTATTGTTTGCATTAACTTCTTTACCTTCATCCTAATTTTAATTTTCCGAAAGGGTCAATATCTAGCATTAATTTACATCATTAGTCTAGAATAGAGCACAAACTATCTCATATTCAATGATTGTAAGCTTACAGTCTAAATAAATGTATTTCTTGAATTGGCCATTTCAGTTGTTAGTAAGGCATTGGGAATTGTTTACATTAACTTCTTTAATTTAGTCATTTATTTTAATTTTCGGAAAGGAAGGATATCGAGAGGTAGCTAGCATTAATTTACATTGTTAGTCTAAAACAGAGCATAGACTACCTTATACTCATTGATTGCAAGCTTAAGGCCTAAACAGCAGGCATTTCTTGTATTGAGCATTTTATTTGTTCGCAAGCCTTAAATTTTGCTTGTCTCTATTGCTACCGAACAGGTTTTCAAGTACTGATTGAATGTTAATGTAAATACATTAACTTCTTTACCATCATCCTTATTTCAATTTTCAGAGAGGAAAGATGTCTGGAGGTAGCTAGCATTTATTGACATTGTTAGTCTAGAATATGTAGAGTACAAGTTATCTCACACTCACTGATTGTAAGCTTAAATAAATGTACCTCTTGCATTAGATATTTCTAATCATTCGCAAGTCTTAGGTTGTGATTGTTTATATTGCTACCGAACTCTTTTCTAGTACTAGTTACATTAATTCCTTTACTATTTTTTTAATTTTCAGTGAGAATGCTTCGAGATAGCAAGCATTCCTTTGTAATGTTTATCTAAAATAGAGCACTATTTTTATGTTCATCAATATACTGTACATATTCCTTGCATTGAGCATTTTTAATTATTTGCAACGATTGAATTTTGCTTAGTGCTTGTCTCTGGTTTTACGATCCATCGCCGGGAACCAGCCATCCCCAGGAAGCAGCCATTCCCAGGGAATGACTGGATTGGCCATAACACCGTATGTCTTTAATAGCTATTGAGCATTTTAATTATTCCTTGCATTGAGCATTTTCAATTGTTTGCAGCGATTGAATTTTGCTTAGTGCTTGTCTCTGGTTTTATGGTCCATCACCGGGAACCAGCCATTCCCGGGGAATGACTGGATTGGCCGTAACACCGTATGTCTTTAATAGCTAATTTCAATTAGCTATTAAAGATGCAATTAGCGCTTAACTTTCATTAAGTTTAATAAAGAATGTCAACAATAAACAATTTTGTTGCTTTTGTCTACCATAGCGGCTGCTTCTGATCTCAATAGTTGGCTCTCATAATGGCTATTAATGCGCTTCTCCATTTGTTTAAACAACCTGATAGTCTATTAATCGCCGGTCGAAATGGATAGATTATTGTCAATTACGCTAGTGTATAAATAAATATTCCACATATTTGTCATTTTTAACTTAGAGTAGCAGCGCTGGATCGGCCAACAGAATTAACGCGTACAAACTATTCATTGGATGATCATTCTGCTACTAAAATAAATGGAGTAGCGTTGCCATTTTAGCATAGCTCCAAACACCAATAGTAGAACTAATTAGTATCCTATTTGCGGCTATCGAAAGTAATCCAACAGGAAGTATTAAGCATGAGGTAGGAGTGATGTAAATCATTAATTGATGTTCTGTTTTGCTTTCTTTCTTAATTAAAGATGCAATTTTGAGTAATATTCTCGTGTAAACTACTGACTGAGATTGAATCACAGGATCTCTATGCCTTAATAGAGTGTCAAGAATTGTTATTTACTCGTATTGAGCGGTCATAATTGATGCATAGTACACCCAATCGATATCATGCCCATGGAACTCTTCTCTTAACGGAGAGATCCATAAGTCTTTCTACGTAGAATGGACAGGTTTAATCATTCATGCGAGGCTATGGGTTAAAACAAAGTACATTGCTCATTTTTGATGATCTTGGCTTCCAATCTTCTATTTTAGGATTGAACTTTTTAACGGCTATAGGAGTAAAGTTGTGGTAAAATGAAAGAGTCTGCATAGCATTGAGCCACAATTGGTTTTCCTAGACCGTAGAAATATTACTTGATTACTTTAAGAAATTCTCACTTGTCCCAGTCTCTTTATAACAACTGTAATAGAATATCTGGGATACTTTAAAAGAGATTCTCAGTCGTTACAAGCTTGCCTAAGGCCCACTGAGCGAAGGGGCAATAAACGAATGGTAACGGAATTACTTTAAGAATAGTAATAAGAAAGCTTGCATACGGTAAGAGGTCCTTCATGCTTACAGTCTCGCTTTAAGGACAATCATAAGAGACTTACTTGGCTACATTTCTCTATAGACAGGTTTTTTTATACTTTTAGCAGTGATCACAGACTCCGCTACATGACAGTAGTAATCTACACAGTACAATTTTCAGTAGTCGTAGACTCATTTTATAGATATCATCACAGGCCTTTAACGAGATTAAAGAGCTTAGTTTTTAAGGTATTATCTTGATCTTATCCAACTCTTTATACGGCTTCTAGCTATCGATTAGAGCTAATCTATCCAAGAGTACAGTATAGACCCGTATAAATTAGAATAGCAAAGAGTACTGCCATGTTACTTTATACACTAATGCTATACTTCCGTTCTACCTATGAAACTTGCATAAAACTCTTTCTGTCTCCGCATGCAAGGCTAGAAGTAAACCTTAGCCAGTATCAGTCCCATTTTCATATGGAGGATATCGTGTACAAGAATGGAAGAAAGTCTTCAAATACTGTAGCCGGCAATTATATCATCCACTAATTACCGTAATTAATATGGAATATTAGCCAATAGACTGCTATGAATCATAAAATTGTTTTAATGCACTTGCAGCGCTTCTCGAAAGGGTCTAATGCTTTCTCTACACTTAGAATCATAATCTTAGTCGGAAGCTCTTACTAACTGACCATAAGAGACTAGAAGAAAACCTTTTCGTTGATAAAACCCATTAGACAGCCATGTAGCGTAAAATACTTTATGTATGCTTACACTTTCGCTTACGATCTTAACGTTAATCCCTTTGGAACTGCACACCATAGATGATTAGAAGAAAATCTTGTGCTATGCACCTCATACAGTTATTTTACACTTTGATCCATAATATTGGCGCAAAACCCTTTCCAACTAATACGACTAGGAGAAAATCTTCTAGTCGCTTATGCTACTCCTTATTCTAGTCCTACTTTCATTTACAGCATATAAACGACCAGGAGAAAGATCTTCCTATGGCCTATGATATCAGTCATTGATCGACGACATGACAGTACGACTGGACTGCAATACATCGTGAAATACTTCCAATATTGAATGCTATCGTTATCATCTAATATAGGCTACTATTCTACACTTATACCCATGATACTAGTGTAAAGCTCTTTCTAAGTGACGATGGAAGACTAGAAGAAAACCTTCTAGTCGCTGGTAGTATAGTTTATTAGCGACTATTAGCTCTATTTTGATATACAATCTGTAAAAGACTAGAAAAAATTTTAGATGGCTGATAATATCATTTGCTAATCAGCAGTAATAATATACCAATAGTTACCTATATAGACACAAGTAGCACAAGGTTAATATAGAGAGACGATAAAAGACTAGAAGAAATTATTCTAGTTGTCCACGCAATAATTTATTCAAGAATACTAGTCCTATTTCATATGCTGGTAGAGTCTATAATAGCCTAGGAGAAAATCTTCAAGTGGCCGCTAATATCATTCATTAACCTTAATCAACAAATTAGCACTACTTGGCGACTCTGGTGTGTAAAACACTCCCCGCAGTCAATTCTAATTATTAATCCAAGAGGACTAAACAGAATTACGATATCCCTGTCTAAATGGATTGCATCCACGATGTGGAGGTATAACTAGAGGCAAGAAAAAGAAACTTTTTCTATTAGCAGTCTATAATAGGACTCTAGAACGAGCAGAAACAACTTTACTTGCTTGATAGAGATCATTCATTACCTCACTTTTACCGTAAAACTCTTTCCAACTGATGATGACAACTACGATAATTCAATTAAGCATACTACTTCTATTTTATTATACCGGTACAGTCTATAATTAATATAATTATTTCCTAGAGTAGGAGAACTCTTCGAGTAGCCACCAATATCATTTCTTAATCAATAAACCAGCACTGTTATGTATGAGTACAGATCGAATAGCTCTAAGACTAAATGGATTGCATCCGCTATGTCAAGGTAGAACTAGGGACAAGAAAGTCTTCGATTAACAGTCCATACAGTAATAGGGCTATAGTCATGATCAAATAGGACTATGCAGAATTTCGATGTCTATGACTAAATAGATTGTATTCACTCCATCACGGTATAACTAGAGACAAGAAAAAGAAAGCCTTCTACGAGTAGTCTATAACAGGACTCTAGAATAAGTATAAGCAGCTTTATTTGCTAGATAGAAATCATTCATCACCCTGTTGATGCCGTACTATTATTATCGTATACTAATAGCCATGATGTTAACGTAAAACTCTGTCCAACTATATTCTAGACTAATATCATTCGTTGATCAACAAATCAGTACTACTAGAAGACTATAACGCGTTAAATGCTTCCTACAGCCAAATAGTGATGACTACATTAACGATCAAAGTGGACTAGACACAATTTCGATGTCCAAGACGAAATGGATTGCATCCATTACGTCGATGTATTACTCGAGACAAGGAAAAGAAAATATTTAATTAGCAGCCTATAACTGGACTACAGTAACGATCAAAGAAGACCAGACACAATTTGCATATCCTTAACTCAATAGATTGCATTCTCGACATAGTAGAGGTATAACTAGAGACAAGAAAAAGAAACTTTATCTATTAGTAGTCTATAATAGGACTCTAGGACGAGCATAAACAACTTTACTTGCTTGATCGAGATCATTCATTACCTTGCTTATAACGTATTATTATTATTCTATGCTTGTGAACATAAAAACTCTTTCCAACTGACGATAAAAACTAATTCATTCATGCATACTAGTCCTATTTTCGTATAGCGAGCCAGTCTATCATAGACTAGGAGAAAATCTTCAAGTGGCCGCTAATGCCATTCATTAATCAACAGCTTGATAGTGCTAGGCAATGTCCTTAAACCACTTGCTGCCATCCAATTGATGTGACTACGCTAATGATTAACGAGGACTATAGACAATTTTAATATCCACGTCAAGGTATAACTAGAGACAAGAAAAAGAAAATCTTCTACTACTAGCTTATAACAGGACTCGAGTACGAGAACTTTACTTGCTTGATAGAGAATATTTAGACCTAACAGCTGGAATCTCCTTGGCAACCATGACGACATCATGCGGAAAAAGACAAGACATTGTATAAACAAATGATCCAATCATGACAAGGCAAGCCTTGATCAACAAGCTATCATTTAGTTTCTTCAGCAATACTTTGATCAGTATTACTTGATTGCCAAGGTTTAAGACCCTACTGCTAAGTACCAACGTTAATCAGACTAAACTCTACTCTTCCAACCAATCTCTCTAATATTAGCACCCTTTTCAATTACGTCAAACGCCATTTCTACTGCAATTCGACAATCAATCTTCCATCATTTCACAGACTGAAATGATTACAAGTGGATAATTGTCGTTAGGGGGGTAAAATACTATTCATTAAGGTAATAGCAAGAGAGTCGAATAAGGTAAGTCGATCGATGGTGGATAACGAGTTGATTAATCTTATTATACTTGTTGATGGATAGAGAATCAACAAGAGGAAAAGAATTGATCCAGTAAGACGATGATCATCTTATTTGATTCTTCCAATTTCTTTTAAGTCATGTATTGATGATGGAATACATCATCATCTAGATAATAATACTATTAGAGTGATACTACCTATTGCTTGTTTAATGACTTTTATGGTAATTAAACAAACTTTAATCAAGGTGATTACTAGTGTGACTAAATGATCGAGAAATAGTCAACATCAAGTGTGCTTATAGTGGATAGAAGTTAATGATAATAATAATGATGAAATCAATCATCGCTTCATTCCTACCCAATAGGATAAAGTCATATACATCACACAACTGTAATTCTTTTAGATAGTCCCATATGATAGTCTAATTTTTTATAATTTTTACCATCATAGCCATGAGCGATTCAAAACTTTCTCTAGCATTTAATTCGATATACTATCGATGTTAAGATACTATAAAATAAAAGAAACGATTAATGAATATCAAGTATTTCAATAATATTTTTTAACGTACTCAACTTATAATTATGGTGTAGGATAGATATTCTAATAAGGATATAAAACAGCAATAACATAGGTGGTAATCATGAATTTTTCAATCACTGTTTTAGTTTTAATCATCCAGCCGAAATGAAGCGATTAGACAGAATAGAACCGTCACCAGGCCCATCTCATGGCCGACAAAGGAGTTCTAGCAGTCGACGAAGAACTTCATCGACAAGTACATTAAATTTTATTGATACTATGGCCGGAAAACAAATTGCCAATGTAAGATTAATCATAATCAATTTCAAATTATTGCATCCAAATTCAATTCTGTAGTTGTTAATCACACTGCATGTTTCCATCCAATGTTGCGAGTATACTATTCCATCGATATGAGTATAACACATGAAAGGGTTTCGATTAACCTTACACGCCGCAATATCAATAGTAATGGATTTCCTTTTCTCTTTCAACATAAGTCTTCTTTTTAGAAGATATCCTAGTAGAGATTATCCATTCTTGGACATTAAATAGATCAAAATAACGCCTTTAGATCACCAAAATAGCTTTCAATGTAAACTTTACTTTAGACTCTATGCAGACTAGATTATAACCTTGCACTACAAGAATTCCTTATAGATGTAGTTCAAATCATCTTATATTGACGAGATCCGTAACATGCATTCTACGCCATTACACCAATATACGAGTAGAGGGTGTATTTTGGAGATTTACACCGTCCTAAAATCGATCTTTTAGACAACCATATGGCCATATTTTCTATCCCATCAAGTATTGCATCCTGTATATTTCCCCGACCATAGATGAATCTTCATAGGATAGCATATTAAAAGTAGACTGATGCAAATAGTACAGGGTACATTCTTAGGGCTATGTATAATATTCTTATAGCAGAATAAAGCATGAGTAGTCAAGATTCATTTTAAATAACACGATTCTTTAACACTCAACAACAAATATTTTACATTCTTTCAACACCATCTAGGCGAAAGTAAAGCATTTTATTGTCCGAAATTTTCGAAAGAAAGAATGTAATAAATTTATTAAGGGTAAAAACTGGAAAAATGATCCATCTGAGTAAGTTCGCTCTATTTATCGAGTATTTTGAACAACATTGTTACTCTTACGTACGATAGACACCAACTTATTTTCCATCACTTTTCTAACATAGTATTAAACGCTGCTCCTGTGGAAGAGTTGAATCGTGGCATGGAACAGAACATATGCAGGAAAGTGTTCTATCCGAAGAAAGATGGAATTCAAAATTTCATACAGTGCCAAAACCAACCGATGCTTATGGCGAAATTGATTTCTTTGCCAATAGTCAACAGCGAATGGAACGTGCAAAAGTAATCTACAATAATACTATCCCTCTTTTCGATTCCTTGATTATTTTGATGTATAAATTGGGCTAATGAATACCTCAATGAACTATTTCATAAAAATTTGACTAAGTCTATGCTTGTATGTATACATACAGTTTATTAGAGTTAAAGATGATACCGATCCGACCATGATACTAAGACTATTGCAAGATTACTGGGGTTTACGCAAACCAAATCTTGTCATTTCTGTTACTGGTGGAGCGCAGAAATTTAAATTAGTGCCCAAAATAAGGGAAGTTTTCCGACGGGGTTTAATGAAAGCCGCTCAATCTACTGGCGCTTATATTATTTCTGGTGGTAGCCATTCTGGTGTTATGAAATATGTTGGCCAAGCCGTGCGTGATAGCTCACTTATTCGGTCTGGCGAAGGAGGAGAAAATTTAGTTGCTATAGGCATTGCAACTTGGGGAACTGTATTAGGAAAGCATGAGCTTGTTGATGCAGAGGTTGGTCTTCTTCTATAATAGATTGTTTGCTGTATTTTACTTTTTTCTTGCATTTATGCTGAGTGGAGAAGAGTTGCTTAATTCACCATTGCAGTGCGGCATTTCGTATACAAGCGCTACTGTAGATACATGTTTTGTAGATGGAAGGCGAGATTCTATCATGATCCATTTCATCCAGTTTATATATAGAAATAATGAGATTTTCATGTACGATAGCAAGGAATAGAAAGATCTATGCTAATAATTTTAAGGTAAAAGAATAAGAGAATGAGAAATTTTGACGTAGGTAGCAAAGAATAGAAAGAACAATGTTGATGACCTTAATTTTAATGTAGAAGAAATAGAAAATGATATGCGTATTACTTTATATAGATCGTTAAAATACCACGGTATTGGATTAGTGTTAAAGCCTTTCATTTTAAACGTAGTAGAGAATGATGCCTTCTTGTATAGATATAAAATAGAGAAAGATTAAACTTAATTTTAAAATAAAAGAATTATAGAATAACCTTAGCCTATGCTACACAAGCCGTGGAAAATACTTGAAATCCATGTTAAAAATCTTTTAATTTAGAAGGATAGTAACGAGAGTGAGATTTTCCTACATGCCAGTGGATAGTAAAGTAAAGAAAGATCAATGTTTATCATTCTAATTCTAAAGGAAAAGAAATAGGGAATAACGTTAACTTATATACTGTGAAACTAGTATAAAATATGGATTGAAACATCAATGTTAATACTTTTAACTAGAAAGAAAAAAGGAAATTAAGACGAGATTATCCCTTACTTCTGTAAATATTTAAATATAAATGGGATTCCTGTTGATAAATTTAATTATAAAATGGATGCTAGGGATCATTTCCAGTCCGCTATCGATCTCAATTTCGTAGTGGAGAAATTGGAGCACCGCTGGATCCAAATCATACCCATTTCATCTTAGTCGATGACGGCACCGTAGGTCGATTTGGTGCTGAAATTGGGCTCCGCTCCAAGCTTGAACAAACCATTTCTGAGCAGAAAATGCACACCTATAAATGTAATTATTTGAAATTCATCACTTTTTCTATATAGCCATCTATTGCCATACCTAACAATAAACTAAATTATCCAACTAAATTATTGATAAGATAGATTAATAACTTGACCCATCTCTATTTCAATCTGCTAGTTGTTGGCAATCACGGATTCAGAATACCAGTCGTCTGTGTAGTTTTGGAAGGTGGACCAAATACTATGGCGACAGTCCATGCTGCTATCGAGCAGAATACACCTGGTGTTGTGGTTGCAGGCAGTGGTCGAGCTGCCAACATCTTAGCTTATGCCTATAATCATACCTATGCTGTGGTAGAAAAGAATATTAACAACGAAGAGTAAGTTACTGCCACTTACTGAAGCATAGGCTTTCTTACTAATCGTATATTACCAAAATGAATATCTGTCGGCTACAATCTTAAGTAGATCATTTTTATAGTCGCTTTTGCTATATTTTCAATTCCTTCTCCAATGTTACATGACAAGATATAGTTTTTGAGCATCTCTTCTCGAATCCAATCCTATTGATTAACTTTGATTCTCATCGCTAGGATTATAAATCTTATCTTCTCTGTCTACGTTAATATTCATTTTTTAGGGTTGAAAATCACTATTTAATACCGGAATTTGAAGATGAAGTGGTAGAGAAAATATATCAGGAGTTTAATTGGACTCAAGAAAAAAATGAAGTTGCTTGTATGAATTGTCTACGACAAGTTAAGCAATGCCTACAAAAAAAATCCATGGTATATACATATATACTCGTTCATATACATATACTACAATTATTCATTGACTTAGCCTAACTTCAAAAGTTTATAAAGGGCCAGATAAATCAAATTCATCGTAATCTTACGTATTTTATCATCATTGATAGTTGACTATTTATCACGCGGAAGATGGAGATCTTGATGCAGCAATCTTGGAAGCTCTAATGAAAGGTATAATTAATGCAATACCACTATATCGAATAGTGGCATGTTGTCTGTCTGCAATAAGTATATCTCCAATGTCGTCAAATGTTGGCATTCAAGGCTGTCAAAAAATTTTATACTAATTCAGACATCTAACTTGTTCTCAAACAGCTAATCCATCCTCCCAAAAGACTCAGTTAAATTTAGCTTTAACATGGAATAAAATAGATATTGCTAGAGATAGAATATTCTGTGGTAAAAAATGGAAGGTATGGTTTATTACTAAATGTACAGTAAAATTACAGGATAGCGCTGTTATTTCAATTTCATGCTCTATATCTGATGTACTACGAAATGGTTGACTATATAATCATCGATCAACTTTGATTAATTAATACAGAAGCAATAATTTCTTTCATAGTCTAAAGATTTAGAAACTGCCATGATGACCGCTTTAGTCGATAATCGCGTTGATTTTGTAAAGCTATTCATTGGACATGGCTTGGACTTGAACGAATTCTTGACAAAGAAGCGACTTGAAGAATTGTATCAATCGGTAAGCCATTTTCACATAACACGCATAATTGTCTTCTCAAGCAATTTTAACCATCTTGTGATAGTTTTATATGAAAATTTACTCATATACTGTAATAATTTGATGATCATCTAATAAATAAACTTATCCTTTAGTTTCCGAAATTCTCCTTATTTAATCAGCTTCTCAACGAGTATAGACGCAATCATAAGGTGAGTTACGAGGTTAAGATACATTATGTTTGTATACAATATCACATGTGTTAGTCTCATGAATTTTTTTGCTACTTCTTGCAATAGTTCAGTCATAATAGAATTACTACTTTCTACTTGAATATAACGGAGTATACTGTACCTATTCCAATGGATACAAACGTGAATGCACGTAATAGTTTATTAATCTGTATACTGGATACTGAATGTCTTTAGAATGATCAGCAAATCTGCTTGTATGCTGTGGGTAAAGTAATTGGTAATCTTATTGGTGGAGGATTCACAAATCCTTACGTATTTTATGAAGAAGAATATAATGAGCAAACAGTAACTGGAAAAGATGAAGCAGATTGCGATGTCCAAGTCTATGACTCTGATAGCTCGGACGAAGATGATGACAAAAGGGCAAACAGAGAATTTGAAGATCCATACCAACATATTTTTATATGGGCAGTATTAAGAAATCGACCTGAAATGGCATTCTATCTATGGCAAAAGCTTCATAACCCTATTGCTGCAGCTCTTGTTGCCTATACATTATTCGATAGAATGGCTGCTTCAGCTGAAAATGTTTCATCCAGCGACGTAGCAGCAGATTTATCACAAACTGCAAAGTGAGTATTAATAGTCCATTAAAATATAATTTTTTAATTGTAATCCGACTTGCATTCATATTGACATTTTGTATATATTATATAGCGAGTTTGAAGAATTATCTATTGGTGTTATGAATGAATGTTATAATACCAACGAAGAAAACGCAATGTTATTATTAACAAAGATTTTACCAAGATGGGGCGATACAACTTGTTTAGCTCTAGCCGATAATGCACACAGTGAGATTTTTATTGCTCATCGCTGTTGTCAAGCTCTACTCAATAACTTATGGAATGGTGATATAGAAGGAGATACGGCATCGTGGATAGTAAGAATCGAAATAGATTAGGACCAATTTTTAGCTGTAGTATAGAAACACTTTTATGATTTATAATCCAAACTGAGCAGTTATATCAATGATTTATTATTTCAATTTTTAAGGTGCTATTTTTATTCAAATGTATACCTTTTTTTCTTGCATTCTAGGTAACAATTACTACTTGCTTACCAGTGATTCTTTTATCAACTAATTATGTTCGATTTCGGTCCAATATCGATCATAAACCGAAAAGTATACGACTAGCCGCAAAACCAAACCCGAATGAAGCTCAGAATCCTACCGATGTAGAATTAGTTGCAGCTGAATTAGCAGATCAAGAGATTAGCGACAGCGCAGAACAACAGGCTCAAGCTGTGATTGTTACTCGAGGCTCAAGTTCAAAGGGCCAATTATGCAATTTTAAACGCATTCCGGCATTCTACAAGTCACCAAGAACTAAATTTACAATAAATTCTGTAAGTTATACCATTGTTAGTAATTTTCTAAATGGTATTCGCTTAAACACCCTTATTCAGAATAAGAAATGATACTGTTTATATTGTATATATATACTATGTTCGTTTTATAACCGAAAGAGGATAAGTTAGCAAGTCTAAGCATTCAAAAGCTATAGCAGCATTAACAAATGCCTTGACTAGATTAATATTGAGCTATTTGGTGATATAGAAGATGTGCATGAAAGACTTCATATCTCAATTGTACAGTTTATATCTGATTATTAACAAAAACAGAATTAACACTTTAATTCTTGGTCAATTCTTTGCATAGATTTCCTTCTTTTCCTTCATCATTCTCTATGCATACATGATTTTATCCGACTTTCGTTCACCTTATCCTGGTGCTGCTGAATATATTTTAATTGTATGGACTTTTAGTCTATTTGTGGAAGAACTAAGACAGGTTAGCAAATTATTTCAATTATTTACATTCAATTAATATGCTTTTCCATCGTATGTTAATGAAGAAGAAGTTTCTTGCAGTATTGAATAGAATTATTAAAAGCAGAATTTATATTTTATCATTTTCTCCGTAAATAATGGAAAATTTAGTCATCGATTTTAAACTTTATTATTTCACGTAGCTCATCCGATCAGAAGCTGAAACATTTTCTAAAAAGTTAGCAAGTTACTTATCGGATTTATGGAATATTGCCGATGTGGTAGCTTTGGCTTTCGTTATTACGGCTATAGTTTTGCGCTTCTTCGAGCAAACTCGAGAAACTGGGCGAATAATTTACTGTCTTGGCTTTATAATTTACTGTTTACGTGTGCTACAAATCTATTCCGTTAGTATCCATTTTGGGCCTTTATTAGTGATGATTAAGAAAATGGTAAGATTTTCTATTTATTAAAATGCGTTATCTCATTGGTAAATGTTACCGCGTTTAAAAGAAAAATTGATTAGCTATAGTATTAACACTTGTAATAATAGGCAATGACTTAAATGGTATTAATGCAGCTAATTTTATCCCATTTGATCAATTTCAACTAGTTAAGCGATTTGGTCTTCTTCGTGGTTATTTTGGGCGTCTTTTTGGTAGCATATGGTGTATCAAGTCACGCTATACTTCATCCTAATTATCCTTTTAATGCTACTATAATTCAGAAAATATTCTATATACCCTATTTTAATATCTATGGTGAACTATTCTTGGCTGAAATTCAAGGTAAGGCAAGAGAAAATCTCTCACTATGAATTATAAAACTATTCTATAGATTGATTGTGTATAGCTGAGTTCATTAATCCATGTCGCCTTATGCAGCATCTAGTATATGCATCGCCAGCATATTTGCTTACAAAGCGCAGTAAATGATGTACTTGGGTGAAAAAATTAGATATACTGTATTTAGTCTGAGATTAATTAAGTGTAGAAATGTCCAATTTTTGTAGGAATTTTTACTCTAATATATCATAAAGCAAAAAAATTTCCAGTTGGCGTGAGAATCTAAGTTAAACGGTAGGAACTACAACGCCTTAGAGGCATTTCAATATCTAGGACATTCAGCAAAGAATTTAATGCTATCTATTTTAGCATCTGCAGCCTAACAGCCGCATAGTTACGACGTAGGATTGTGCTAGCTCGAGAGTCTAGTTTGTACAGCCCAATTAATTCTGCATTACGGTTAAATTTATACTGCAACTTGCTTTTCGGTATCAAATATGAATTGAAGATTTGTAATTAATCGAGCGAAAAGTATGAACTAATGCTAAATTTCATCAGGCTATACAATATACAGTACAATATATAATATATACCGTATAAATATGTGTAATATAAAAATTAGGATTTTGTGTATAGAGTTTGTAGCTGTCTAGAGGATACAAAGCTTACAATTACGCAGCAGTTAAGGCGTAGGATTATGTCAGCTTAATTAACATTGCGGCAAATATATCTGCAACGCACTATTCGATAGCAAAAATGATATTTTTAATCAGTCAAGCGTAAAGTGAGAACTACTTCTATATTTTATCAGGCTATGCAATATACGTGTACAATATATAATTATTAGTGTAAAAATATTATATAGGAAAATTAATTTACTTTTAAGTCAAGAGTTTGCTGCCATCTAGCAGATACAAATCTCACAACTATGCCCTAGTTACAACGTAAGATCATGCTAGCGTGAAATTCTAGTTTCTATAGCCTAGTGAATGTTATGCCAAATATGAATTTTATATTTTTATAACTTACTAATAATTATATAATTAATTAAACGTAAAATGAGAACTATTACTGTATTAGTATCTCAAACTTGATGTAGCGTTCTATGACAAATAGAAAAGTGGTGATATTATAATTTAAAGCCATCTTGAATTCTGCTAATGGTATAAAAATAGTCCAATATTAGTCGTGGGGGAAAAGCTACTTTCCTGAATCATATAATGGCCATAAATCTTCTATGAGATATATTTCTTTCATGATAGTGAACTGTATTACTATGAAATAACTCATTACTAATAGATGTCGGTCTTCCCTGTTGTAACTTTGTATTTATTCTATTTCTAGGTCAAAACTGCCCACCAGGACAAAATTATACTACTGATCCAACGAACTGTGTGGCAAATAACTGGCTTGTACCTGTCTTGTTCTCTTTATATCTCTTAATTACCAACATTTTGCTGATTAATTTACTTATTGCTATGTTCAAGTAAGTTGAGGAAGTTGAAATACATAACGTTAAATTAAATTTCAATTCGATGCTATTAGTAAGGCTATCAAAATCTTATAGTCTAAACGGATTAACTACTGGGTACTGAGGATGTTTGTTAATCTCTTCATTTTTATTTTAAATATGGTGATAAAAACGTAATAACTAGTAACTGAATAATTGATATGAAATGAAGTTGATGTTGGCGAATTAGTTACATCCTAATGTAATCGAGATACTATGAAGGAAAAATTCTTTCTAACTTATGTACCTGTCACAAAACAGCTCTGCAACAAGATAACGCAATATACGATCAATAAGTCAATTCCTTGAACTACGTATCAAGGAACGATATCTGCACTATCACAAACACTTTTGCTCTACTAGCAGACTACACAAAGACTTAAACGCCTCGTATTTTACGTTAAACACTAAGTTGGAGAATTCTCTTTATTTCACGATATACTGCATTTATATACTATTCCTCAATAGTTCATGAGTCATAGTTAATACAATTAACATTGGAATCATTTACTGAATTAGATATTAATTTTAGCTACTGCTTCCTTAATGCAGACAACAGTATTTACGAATATAGACATGTAATGACTAATACAGAATAGTCAGATTACGATATGTCCTATCACGGAACATTTCCATGATAATTTACGATCTACCATAAGTAAATTACAATCACAATGATTCGAACTGTAAGTAGATGATTTGCATTCCCTATTATAACTATTAATTTCAGTATGTGTATAAGTGTCACTGTCATAAAAAGTCAGTGCTATATTAAAACACAGTATATCCAAATTAGAAGTTAACTAAATAAGGATAGTCTAACAGAATTATCCTAACATAGATATTTCTACTGTAATACAGTATTTAACACTGTAACAGTACCAAATAGAGACTACAATTACAGCATATGCAGTAGAATACCATGAATAGGATGACAAGCAATTTAAAATCTCACTTCAGACCAATTATATCAGTCCAGGCTTATTTTATTCCTATATGAATTTAATAACGGGACGACAAGCAATTTTGAATTCTGACTTGAGCCCAATCCAATTGCTATATATTCTTTTATTCCTCTATTTATTTAGCAATACATTTTCATTGGTACAAGAACGCTCAGATTTAGTGTGGAAATTTCAGCGATACGATTTAATCCGTGAATATCTAGAACGCCCAGCTTTACCACCTCCATTCATTTTAATCAGTCATCTAAATCTAGTTATTAAATCATTACGAAAGAATTGTAAAAGCCATCGATATCCTGTGGAGAAAAACTCTCTAAGTAAGCTAATTCTTCATCTATTGGAATCGTTTTCACTTTTCTTTAGTTGGATAGTTGAGCTATCCTTGTCACTACTGGATACTTGCCTTGAATTTACGATTGTAACTATTTTCGTCGACAAATGAAGAATGTAACGCCATAACAGTTCTCCATCTATTTTACTTTATGTCGCTTTCCATTATAGAAGTCAAAATGACTAGTCGTAGATTAGATCAGCAACTAGAATTATGGGAATTTGAGGCTGCAGATGCGTATTGGTTGCAAGCTGAAAGTAAAAAGTCCGATAGTATAGAATCTCGTGTTCGTAATTCAGGAGAAAGGTAAAGAGAGTAAAACTAGAGATATTGACCACGGCTACGATTGTTTGCTAGATCAATATCGTTTCTATTTCATGCAAGTCAGGCTTGGAAGTCTTCAACTATTTTGAACCAATGTTGTTTTAATTATTTATTGTAGATTGGAACACATGGCAGCCATTATAGCTGCAAAAGGTGTTGGTAGTAAAGATAGTCGATTACGTCCTGTAACAGCAATGCCCGATGAAAATTCCTCTATGGAACGAATTGAGCGTCGCTTAGCTGATCTAGATGAAAGGACAATGGAGATGTTTGATGCCATTTTGGAGCATTTAGATGCTAAAGAAGGCCTATCTAGGTTAATTTTGGTTTGCATTTTTATCTATTTTATACTTTTCTTGCTATTCATACACGATTGTATTCTTCAATATATTATAGTGAATGACAGTATCGTTAAACCCAATTTTCTCGTTTGTTCTACTTGATATGTTAAATAATTATACACTTTTCAGTATAGTAAGAAAAAGGGCCACTAAATCCATTTTAGGTTTACTTTACTCTACTGTTCATAGATTATTTGCTTTCAGTATAGTAAAATAGAAGAAAGCGCTGTTAAATCCATTTACATTTGTTTTAATTTTGACATTTCCATCAATTATTTTACTATTTCATGTATGAGAGCGAGAGAAAGTGTTGCTTCAAGCCTATTTTATAATTGTTCAACTACTACGTTGATCGATTATTTTACTTTTTAATATATTAGAGTGAAGGAAAGCTCACCAAAGGCTACTTTACAGTTATCCTACTACAGTATTGATAGATTGTTTCACTTTCCTATATAGTAGAATAAAAGAAAGCGTCGTCAAACCTGTTTTATAGTTGTTCTACCACGGTATTTGCAGATTATTTTTTTCTATAGTGGAGTGTGAGTAAGTGTCATTAAACCTATTTTACAGTTACTCAACTATTACGTTGATCCATTATTTACATTTTAATATATTAGAGTGAAAGAAAGCCTCATCAAATCTATTTTAAATATTAATATATTAGAGTATTTAAGCGCTAAACCCATTTTATATTTGTTCTACTCTGATATTTATACAGTACCGGTGCTCTATTTCACTTTTCAATATTCGCACATTATGCCAGTAGTGAAAAGTTATAGCTAAACTCATTTTTATAGTTGCTCTATTCTGACGCTTGTACGTTATTTTTATTTTTAAATTTATTGTAGCGACAGAAAGCGTCGTTTAAGCCAATTTCGATCACTGCCTATCCCACCACCAAGTGTAACAACGTTGAAATTGACTGATTCTGTCCCCATTGAAAATGAAGTTGGACGCTATGGCCATTCGGTACATAAAAAAGCGAGGAAATCGCCCTATCCAGGGACAGCTATTCAACGATTTCCTGTTCCTGATAATGCCGTTAATTGGGAGGTAAGAGCAATATTATACCAATGATTCTACGTACAACAAAATTGAGATCAAATGATTTCTTATTTCACTTTATTCAGCAACAAATTGAAATTATTTTTTCTTATTCACAGATTCCATTTCCCGACTATGAACCTGTGGTTCATACGGATGATGTTGTATTAGCTGGCCCAATATGGGCTGATCCAGATATTTTAACATTGTAAGATGAGCAATCAACGATAGCATGTTTCATCAGCCAGTTATAATATTATAATTACTGCATAATTTTGTATTAGCCTTATTCTGATCAATTCGTTATGTCATTTTATAGGGGACCACATCATCCCGACAGCATTAAAATTTTGTATAATTGCCTTGATCCGGCTTATAATGTCAATCGGGTTAGCTACGAAGGAGATTATATGGTTGTCGATGGATTTCCATTGTAAGTTTTACTACTAGAATAGGATCAATAAGACACCCTGATTTAGGCATATCATATTGTTATTTTCCAAATAAGTTTGAAAAGTAAAATTTGGACTGTATTATGATAGGACAAGTCGTTGATTTTATTTTAGCGACATAGTATTCTCGTGTATCTCTTGCTGTCGCTTATTATACAGCTGCAGTCTATTATCTGTCATATCATATCATTGTAGTCTATTTACTGAACTACTCATTAATCAGATATAGAGTAGTGGACTCTATACTGTTATCATAGGAAAATGTTGATATGGATTTATTTACTGAAACTACTCTTCAGCCATGCATAGAGTAAAGGATTTTTTATACGGTACTTTTAGCCAAGCAAAACGTTGAAATTGATCGATTAGGGAAACTGCTATTCAATCATGTATAGAGTAGTGAATTTTATACTAATAGTCAAGAAAAATGTTGAAATCGATTTATTTACTCAAACTACCTTTCAGTTATGTATCGTATAGTAGATTTTATACTATTAGCCAAGGAAAATGTTGAAATCGATCTATTTATTAAAATGACCTTTCAGTCATACCAAGAGTAGAGGATATATACTATTAGTCAAAGAAATTGTGGAATCTATGTTTGACTAGTATACATTTCGTTGATGCGTGGCAATAATGAGTTTAACGGGTTAAACGTTTAAATTGCAATGATAGAAATCCTGAAGGCCGTACTGGTGTAAAGGGAAGAGGTCTTCTCGGTCGATGGGGACCTAATCATGCTGCAGATCCTATTGTAACACGATGGAAGCGTAATGTTCGAGGAATTGTGATAGAAAATGATAAGAAAGTTTTGGAATTTGTAGCTATCCAACGGCGTGATAACCACCAATGGGCTATACCAGGGGTAAGAGAGTATCGATAATTATTGCCTCTGCGTTGTAAGCAAGTTTTGATTTTGTAGCTATCGCCATGACTGATGGATTACATCATTTTTAGGGAATGGTTGAACCTGGTGAGACTATAAGTCAAACATTGAAAGCTGAATTTAGTGAAGAAGCCTTAGGAAAGTTGGAAAAAACTCCTGAAGAGAGTGAACAAATTAAAAAGCATATGGATCAAATATTTCAAGATGGACATGTGGTGAGTAACAATCTAGACATAAATGGGTTATAGCACTATAATTTGTTTGTGACAAAGAAGAAGTGGATAACATTTTTCCAATTTAAAATTTTATTAGGTCTATAAAGGTTACGTTGATGATCCTCGTAATACAGATCATGCTTGGATGGAAACGATTGCTGTAAACTTTCATGATAACGATGGTAGCGTATTTAATAATTTTGAACTGCAGGTTAGTGAGTGATTCACTTAGTATGAATGGATTGATTGTATTTTTGCTCATTTCAGCTCTTGATAACGATTAACCTCTCTAACGATGAATTAATTTTATATGTGTTACTTAGGCGGGTGATGATGCTTGTGCAGTAAGATGGCAACGGGTTAGTTCCAAAGTCCCGCTATTTGCTAGTCATTCGAACATATTAAAACAAGTTGCCAAGCTTCACGAAGCAGATTTTTAAAAGATTTTAAAATCTTCTGGATGATTTCAATTAATTTTTATATAAGCCATTTTTCATCTTGCAATGTTCGAAACATGTGGAAATGCTATTTCAATATTAAATCATTGTATTAGATAAGGTATGACTAACGACAGTGGCATTATTCGTAGGCGATCAATTTATTAATGAATATTTGTTGCTGTTATCATGATGGTAATCTTCACTTCTTGGATAATAATTGAATTCGTTGTAAAGCTAATATTAGTCCAAGTCAAAAGGGTTGGCATTAAAAGAAAGTGTCTTTATCATACAGTATTCTATATAATGGATAATGTGTGGCACTATGTACAGTATAGTTAGTAACAGATATTCGACTTTCACGACAGCATCATATGATGTGGATCCATTCTGATATTGAGAATTTGCTAAGTTTGACTATTTATGAGCTTGTCATGGTGCTTTTATTTAATATATTTTGTAATTTAACTCTGTTGTAAGTTAGTAACGATATTGCTGCGATAAACATCTACTACTTCTTGCTCTCTCAAATTATTGTACTCTTCTATTACGCTAAAGGCCTTGATACGTTGCTATACTGTTCTATTCAGTTAGTACGTTTGAGCTGCATAATCTTACATATCAACGATTTCATTTTTTTCACTATTATTCAAAAATTCAATAAATAGATCCTCAATTGGTTATTAGATTGTCAAGCTGATTATTTCATTTTCAGAGACTCAATTTAATTCAATTCTTACAAGATCGTAGAGCTGTACATTGAAAGATAACTCAATTTTTGTTTTTATGACAGTACGATAAATGATACGAACAAAGAATAAGTGAAAATATTTATATAATAATAGGATAACATCAAGCAGAAAAAAAATTACAGTAAATTGTCCTGCTCCAAAATGCAGTAACAATATCTTACAAAGATTGTAAAATAATTCAATTTCTAAGTGCAGAACTTTGAAATAGTAAAATGTTGCATGGTCAATAACTATCAACGATATCGTATGATAACATTGCAAGAATAGGTATCACATTCATGCGGGTATTCATTTTTTCTCCTTTTGTGAGGCAATCAATCCGTATAGCTTGGTGTTCTCTTGCCGTAGCGATGCTATTTCCTTTTGCATTTGTTCAACATCATCATTTCCGATCTTTGTTTCGTTGGAGTGGTGATGATGGTTACTATCTCTGTTGGTAGCATCTTGATCAGCTTCTTCAAGTTGCTGTATTTTCTTATCTAATTGATAACAATATCTGACCAGCTCACCCTTACTCATTCGATCATATTTGTCGAATCGAATTTCTTCCAAATGGGCGGTAAATTCGTCTTCACCACTATAGTTACCATTTTCTGATTTATCTTCCATTCGTTGTATTTCATCTAATAAATCGTCACTATTGTCATTGACACTTCGAGCTCGTGCTTTTTCGTAGTCATCCATAATAAATTGGGTTGTGTTGAAGGGTGTTACTGGCAAGCCCGATTGAATGCGTTGATTATATAATTGTGTAGCTTCTTCAGCGGCCATTTCTTCTAATTCAGCCTTTTCTTGACAAGATAAGTTTTGATAGTTTGAAAATTTCTTTTTATTATTTTTGCCACGTTTCTTTTTTCCACGTCGTGTTTTTTTCCAACCACCAATTTCATCTTTTGAGTTATTATTCTGTTGATTGGTAACACCATCAATAGGTATTTTCTTAATGACGCAAGATGCATACTTTAGTTTCTTTCCTTCACGATTTTTTCTGCGATTTTTTCTGTGGGATGGTTTGGTCATAGGACGTTTGACACCATGTTGGGGGGCCTTGTCACTTTGGTTATTTTCCTCCATTTTTGACTGTCAATATAGCGTCTTTGCCTTTCTTCAATCCAGTGTTACGGTGATAATAATATCAATGCTTCAATTCAGTGTGGATAGGAATAACTCTAGTAGGACTAATAAAATGGATAATTGCGATGGTTACTAAAAGCGCTCAGTTGTATTATCATAAACATTGACGAAAATACATCCCAACCTATAGTACAGTACTGTATAGAGTAAAATTGAAAAGATCGATATGACGGCTACATTATTTTTTCATAGTAACTGTCGCTGCTTGTTGTTGTGGACTGTCTAACCAGTGTAGAGAAGTATTGAGATGCCGAGTAGGCTTAACACGTGATAATCACCATCAAGACTTGTTGAGTGGATCAGATATTATATGACTGATAGTAAGAATAGTCCTCAACTTAGATAGTGAAACTGCTCTTCTATCACTGTGATTGATTTAGCTAAGTGCATCACTCCATCATTGTACCTACGCTTAGTAGAGATATCATGTAAATTGTTGTTCTAATGTTCAATCGTACTATCGTATCCTATTTGTGAAGTAAGCAAAGCATCAAAATAATGTAACGCTATACGCAATGACAACAACTGCATGTTTACAGTATACTGTACAATGGTAGCAAAAATTACTCATGGCAAGGTATCGATTGTTGTGGTCTAGGAGTAGAATTTAAAACGGCAAGATACTGATATTGAAACCTTAGCTAATTTAGTAACAGTAGGATAGTTGTAAACACTGAAAGGCTAAACAATCAGTTTCCATTGGCCTATCGATTGTACATTGTGTCATCGGATTGTTAACATCACCAATATAGTACGAATGTTATTTCATCGCTATCCTAAGCAAGTGGATAAACAAGTGCAACAGTATCATTCATTACGGTAGAACTACGTCAAAGTTAAGTCAATTTTAATATCTCTAGATAATGAATGACTGATGTTGCTACCCTATTCGGAGGAACAGCTTGAGAAACAATACTGCCTGAGGGAGGGAGGGAGGGGAGGGGGAAAAAAAACACGCGTCAATTATAATTCAACGAGAATACGAGCTGCTAAACCACTAGCAATGACAAGGAGATCAAAATTAAGTAGTGTACAAAGGATAACTTGCTGGTTTCGATAGACTGTAAACTAAAAGCAATTGATCCTTTTGACAGTCATTGGCTCCGACAGTGATGGCTTTCTATCCTTAAATCAACAACAAGCCTGACGTCCTCCTATAATGTCCTTTCTTAGCATATTATTGTTGTATCGTCTATGCGCAAAATATAAACTAATGCAAACTAGAGTTCAATCAAACAAATAACCACTAAGATAGGCTTTGGATCATTTGTAACCATCCGTAGCAGTCATTTGAGTGATTAAAGACCATATTACGGCATGATTTCAAGCCACGTTGGTCTGCCATAGTAAGCATTCAAAAAAAAGGCAATTGCAAAGAAACATCATCTAACCGATGACATCGCAAGGCGTACTACGGCATTGGTGGGCCAGTTGTATGGCTGGCCAAACCTGTATAAAGACAACTCAAGGGTAGTACAGGCTTATGATATCAAGACTAAGCCACTGACTAACAACAACACCAACAAGATGATGGTAAGAAAAAGAATAACATGATTAAGAGATTGGACTCACTTGAGGTTTGTTTTAGCCAGTGCGGCAGACATTTGCAACATTTCAACCATTCCGTTGACAGCATCGACTCGACTAAGCTTGTTTTGTGTTGCGACGGGGTTTATATAGTGCTGGATTGCGCAGGCGTATATGGCAAGGGGGTCTACAGTGCATCATGTACAATTGTACTGTACGCTATAGTACAGTACAGTACTGTACAGTACAGGACGTGGAGTCTGTCTTAAAAAACTCTACAGTGTACAGTACTGTACTGTAGCCTTTGCACTGACCTGCCGGTAAACTGGACGGATAGTGGGACGCCTTGGCTATCAAACCAGTCTCCGCCACGGTGTATCTTGGCTGGTAGTAGGGGGGCATGCCGATTTACATACAGTAGCATACAGTACAGTACAAAGACCGTGTGGTCGAGACGGGCCTAAAACAACTTCTACGCTGGACTGGATCAGTCAAGGAGTTAATGTCGGAAAGAAAATATTGAAAATGTTTGATGATTGCTTTCCCTTTTAGTTGGGCCATCTGATTGAAAGTACTACTTCCAATGGTAGGACTTGTATCTTCAAGGTCTGCACTTGGGGATGGACCGGAATATAGATAAAACTACATTGGAGATTAATTTTATTTCACCCAATGAAATTGATCTTTCATTTCTACCAAACTGCAAAGGAAATTTTTTTCCCTTGCGTTTACTGATCCGATACATTGGATATACCAATTTTTGCATGCATTTGTACAATATTGATGACAAATGCATGGTTTGAATGTGTATCGGAAGGTTGATAACGATTGATCTTTTGGAAGCGTTTTACTTTTGGTTTTGACTGTTCCAACCTATCGAAGAAAACAGATCACACTGTACAACATTCTACAAAGAATACAGTATAGAGTGGACATGGCCTACTGAGCTCAGGCTCAAGAGGCTTGTCAATCATAACAAGGCATGTTCTTCGTAGTTGTTGCTTTCTATTGGAGGTATATATCGTCAGTTTGAAGTTAGAATCGACGCAGTTCAAAGTACAGTAGAAGCATTTTTAAAAGCTGGCTACCATCTCTGACATACTGTATGTATTCATAGTGAGTGCCGTCGATATGGAACTGTAATCCGTACATGGTATACCATGGATGACGAGTCGATGCTCGCTTGTTGGCATCAAAAGGACTACAAAAGTAAGAGAGCGAACAAGAAATGGTCGTTCAGTCCGCGAATACAGTGAACGACTATTTTGCTGGTCGTTTCAACTACATGGTATGTCTGCAATGTTCCACTATACTATCGACGACGGAAGAGGCCTCAGCATGGTTTATTTGTAAGAGAACATTCTTGCAAGTAGCCAAGTCTGTGATGGATTACTGAGCAATCATGGAACAACCATTTCTCCTTCTTAGTCCAACGACTAGCAAAATGAAGGAGAGGGAATAAGAAAATGCCTTTCAGCCTAGCAAAATGTTGGCTTGATTATTTTTGCTGGTCATTTCAATTGAAGCATCGATCTGAAACGATACAGTATACTGTCGACGAGTAGCGGGTTGCTGAATTTTCACTAGAGGGTAGTCAACGGTTTGAGTGGTAGCGTCTAGTAGAATGACCCGTCGCTGGCGTCATTTTCTATTGTTGTCCTCTTATCGACTCAACACAGTTTACGTCAGTGGCAAGTTGGTCAGCCTACTGAAGATCACCGATTCTGCGTACTATGCCTCCTGCGTACAGTGTACTGTAAGTACTGTACTGTAAGTGTACAGTATTCATTCTCACCAATCTTACTGTACTGTATTGATCGATCTTCCATTGGTCAAATGCTGCAGCACTGTGCTGTAGTACTGGACTATTGGAGATCGACAATGGTCATCGTGGACAGTGGAGCAAACTGTCGCAGACATAGGGTCCAGTGAACCTTAAAATGACTATGGAAATATGGGTGGTCGGAACGAAACTGAACGACGTCTCTTTCTTTTTCAGCAGTGCATGTTCTGCCTGGACTCGAGTACAGTACAACGTACTGTACTCAGTACGGTACTTGATGTGTAGAATACTACATTGTACACTGTACACTCTGCACTGTGAGCAGTTGGAACAATAATGCAACTCTATTTTACTGTCTACTACTCAATGATATATTGGATAGTGAACATCAACTCGGCAGCTCAACTCTATAATAAATTGACCATTGTGGACAGTGTAGTAAACTGTTGCAGACATAGGGTTCAGTTAACCTTAAAATGACTATGGAAATACGGGTGGTCGGAACGAAACTGAACGACGTCTCTTTCTTTTTCAGCAGTGCATGTTCTGCCCAGACTCGAGCACAGTACAACGTACTGTACTTGATGTGCAGAATACTGTACACTGTACACTGTACTCTGCACTGTGAGCAGTTGGAACAACAATGCAACTCTATTTTACTGTCTACTACTGAATGATAGATATGTTGGATAGTGAACATCAACTCGGCAGCTCAACTCTATAATAAATTGACCATCGTGGACAGTATAGTAAACTGTTGCAGAGATAGGGTCCAATTCCAATGACTATCGAAATACGGGTGGACGGAACGAAAGGGAACGACGTTTCTTTCTTTCTTTCTTTTTCAACTGTGCATGTCCTGCCCAGACTAGAGTACAGTACAATGTACTGTACTTGATGTGCAGAATACTGTACACTGTACACTGTACTCTGCACTGTGAGCAGTTGGAACAACAATGCAACTCTATTTTACTGTCTACTACTGAATGATAGATATGTTGGATAGTGAACATCAACTCGGCAGTTCAACTCTATAATAAATTGAACATCGCGGACAGTATAGTAAACTGTTGCAGAGATAGGGTCCAGTTAATATGACTATCGAAATTCGAATGGTCAGAACGAAAGGGAACGACGTCTCTTTCTTTCTTTTTCAAGAGTTTATGTCCTGCGCAGACTACAGTACGTTGTACTTTGGGTGTACTGTCCAGTAGAATACTGTACACTGTAGAATGTACACTCTGCACTGTAAACAGTTGGAACAATGCGACTGCATTTTACTCTTCTACTCTATACTACACTACTGAATAATGCTTTGGATAGTAAACATCAACCCGGCAGCTCCATTCTACAACAAATTGACCATCATGGATAGTGCAGCAAACTGTTACAGACATAGGATCGGGTTAAAATGACGAGCAAACTATTGAGGTTCGGCCTAGCTAAACTGAACAACGTCTCTGTCTTTCTTTTCCACCAGTCGATGACCATGGGTGCCGTCCAAGCTACAGTACATTGGACTTGGCGTGTACTGTACACTGTACACTGTGCGCGGGTGGAGTACCATAGAAGAAGTGAGGCATGCTCCATCAAAGACTTCTTTGACTCTATTTCATACTACTGAATGCGACATTAGATAATGACGCCATCGCCTATCAGGGGCTCCACCAGGTACGGTGACTGGCTTACCCCAGCCACGTCGTTACACTTTATCCTACTCGAAAGGGATTTCACTCGAGTCGATACTACTGAATGAGGCATTGGATAGCCGAACGAAAGACCGAAACGCGCAGCGCCCTGCACCTGCGCACAACAGACTCATTTCCAGTCTGCTCTTGTCGGCTGAATGAGACACTCGATCGCCATAGTAATCCAGTTGATTTGCGCAGTCATTGCAATCGCTTGCCCTCCTAGGCCAAACTGCATTAGCAAGTTCAAGCCTGCTGCTGGTCTTCTTCCTCTCTAATTGATGTCTCCTGGTGTCTATTTTACTTCAATGTGCTAATTCTTTCCACTCAATCACTTGATTGGTAAGTTCATATCGTTCACTGGCTGTTTCTGTTGTTTTCTTTTCCATAAGCATAGGTTATATTACCGTCTGTCGGCTTGGATGAGCACTGGTCAATTCAATGGCATCGTCCATGGCCATCAGTTGTGTTTGCTCGACAAATCTTGGTGTTGTTTATTGGCTATCTTTAAGGGTTGTTGCTTGCTTCTATGCCATGTAGTAGCACTTTCAAGGCTACTGTCTTGATTGACTTTTCTGTTATGGATTGATGAGAAAGATTCAAGCTGTTTTTTAGTCATGGTCTTACTGTATTCGTTTTGCCCACCACGCGATTGGTGGGCAATAGTTTAGAGAGAGAGAGACAGACTCGTCAAGCGCTTGGATAACCAACGTATTGCAGTCCTCTTTTGCATCGGATAAATCATCGCTTAACTTCCAATGAAAAGGAAAAGCATCTTGTAGTCACATGGAGAAGTCTAGGTTGGAAAATACAAGTCAAAGTCCAACTTGTACAGGCTACACTTGTAAACTGACCTATTTCCATAACCCCTCAAGGGATTCATCCAAGCAACCTCGCTAAGGCGAAAAACAATTTGGCCTACTAGTCCATCATGATCCATTACTTTTCCATCCATCCCGTTCAAATGGATAGCCTAGTCGATCGCTAGCATCCGAGTCAGCTAAATGACTTGACAAACGCTTTTCAAGCGTCATGTTAGTGTAATAGTAGCCAAGAAGATTCAGGCATATCCTTTTTTACTGCCAGGCTACTCCACAAGACGTCCAATGCATTCAAACCACTAGTATAGTAGATAGTGTTGTCGCTCACTTGATCATCAACAGGACTCACTTCGACAAATAATAATACCATCAAGCTTACAATACAGTCCATTCTGTAGGATAATCACAAATTAGTCAATGACCGACAAAACATGATGGAAATGTATTCAATGGATTGGCCAATGAGTCTGTCTTGGTCTCTGTGTCTGTTTTTTTGTTCTGATTGCATCGATATCATTTCAATACTTATTATGATAAATCTGTATCATACCTCTTACACAATTAATCTTTCCTTCTACTAAGAATAACAGTCAATTATTTTCATTTTCCATTTCTATAAGCAATTACAAAAGATCTGGCAATTACCAAACTGGCCGATATTATTTTATAGGATACTCAAAAGCCAAAAATTATTCCCAATTCAACTTCTACTATCATGGATTCGCCTGATTATGAAGATAACTCACCAGAAGAAGAAAATGGTAATCACCGTCATAATTCGATCTCATTTTTCCACAACACATTTGCTGTTGAGTTGATTCTAAAGAAAATAACTTTTGTTACAGCATAACTTCATTACTTATGGAAAACTAGTTTACCATACATTGAAAAAGTCCATCAAAGATGGATTAATGATACAAGGGTGCTCTGTTTATCAATTCAGTAAACTTACGTTGCTATGTAATCATTTGGAGACATCTCTTAGCAAAATAAAATATCCATCCAAGCTAAATCGTTGGCCATTGTCAGTACTTTGAGTCATAAATCGAACTGTTATACTGTATATCCTTGAAAGTAAGCAGATGAAACTCCAAACCAAGTGATGCACTCTTCTCCATAGTCTATTCTTATTTTCTACCACGCCAAATACCGTTGACGTACCTAATGGTTGGCTACTTTAGGCTACCAAAGTAGATTATTCTTTTTTTAAAGGCAAAGAAGCAATATCAAATCTCATATTGATATTTCACTCTAAAATACCATGCCATATCTAGTACACGATACCAAATCAAGATCTACTCCGTAATAAAATAAAATATTGACCGTACAGCAATAGGCTTGTTCATACCATTATTAATAGGTTTCTAACCTCTTCTCACGATATAGGTTGTATACTTGTACGTTAATTACATCAAAAACATCGCAACGACACAAACATTTCTATCCTATACGTAGTATGATAAATTTGTATCAATTTGACATGAAGACACAATTCTACGCTTAAAATAGCGCCAAGAATGGATAGACGTATACTTGGACGCGTATTCCAAAGATGAGCCCTATTATATATAATGACGACAATTATGACTGCATAATGTGTTTTAATTCACATACCCAATATTCAACAACTCACAGCATCGTAATAGTGTAGTAGCGCAAAATATCACAAGCGGGATATTTCGACTAGTCTCAGTCTTGTAATCAGTACACAAAAACGACATACCTTTTACTAGTAATAACATTTTCATATTCTACAGCTAAAAGTGACATAAAATGATAGTATTGATAACATATCTGGCTATTTATTCTTCACCAAATAGAGGAACTTATGGCTATCGATAATCCAAAAGTACACGAGGATGACGATGACGACAGTGCCATGTATGAAGGCAAGAATATACACACATCACCGACAGATGGTAAATTATTATGTAGTTATTCGCAAAAGTTATGCAAGCAACGAAGATTGAATGGTTTCGCTTTCTGTATTCGTCATGTTTTGGAAGATAAAAGTTGCCCCTTTAAGCAATGTTCTTATATGGCTAAGTATAATGGTCAACAATGTACCAATCCTATACCCGAGAATGAAGATAGAATGTAAGTTTGGATTGACAAGTTAATAGAAATGAAATTACTTGATACACCAGTTCTAGAATATAATCAAGAATGAAAAAATGTCGACCTTTCTCCAATCATAGAGTAATGAACTATAAAATTATGATTTTATTAGCAGTGAGCAATATTGTTATACAATAAAACGACTTACAATATTATATACGATCATCTAGTTATTTATTTGCAAGCTAATATTCATGCTTTATTAAGGCTGATTATACTGCCTTAAGTTACAAGGGTTATGATTGTACGAACGCTTCTTGTAATCCTTTCGAAAAAGATTGCTTTTGTTTATACAATTTGTCGTTACTTGACAACGACTGCATGCATTTCTTTTAAAGTAGACTTCGCTAAGTGATAATATTCTGAGTTCTTTCCAACTTGATAGACTAGCATTTTTCTAATGCTAACCTCTTTCATCTTTACGTGTACAGATATTGCAATAGCCATTTACAAGTATTAGGAGTAAAGCCCAAGAAATCTAGGAAAAGAAAAGGTGATGAAGTATTATCAGAGTCAGAATCGGAATCGCTATCATCAGTGGAAATAAAGCCACAGTATAAAAACGTCAAGACGAAATTGAAAAAATCAGATGCGAAAGCAGAAAAGCATCGCAAACATCGTCGTCATCGGTCGCCGCAGCATCATCATCGTAAAAATGAAAAAGGAATAAAGCATGAAAAAGCAATAAAGCATGGGAAAGGATTAAAAGCAGAAAAGAAGAAAAAGCTGAAAGGGTTACCGAAATCTACAATTAAGGAATCAAAAAAGAAATTAAAGACGGTTAGTTAATACATGATTGTTGCTTCTATAATAAATACATCTACTACCTGTTAATTGGAATATTTTATTCCTTATTGGCCTTATAGAAATCCGAGAAAAATGTTTTGGTACGACGTCCTGTTGTACAAAATGTAAAAAAGAAGAAAGTAAAGGCGAAGAAACGAATTGCCATTAATGTCAAGTACCCTAGTGTCAAAGCAATGCGAGAAATGAGGCGAAATCAAAAGAAATTTATGCGTAATATCCTGTTATCAGGTTTGCATAATACCTACACAGTATTATAGTTTTACTCTAGGCACGGCTGTATCTGTACAGCGCTTAATAATGTTACTGGTGAAAATGTAAAGTACTGATCGACCATCAATCATTGCTTATAATTAAATGTCACTTATATGCATAAATATATATGTATACGTATTTTCAAAAATTATTAGTCGACAATGAATACTTGTCTTCCTCTGGCACTGACGAACCTGATGCTGGAGATATTGAATACAATCGTTATTGGCAAAAGTCTTGCTTAGATCCTTATTGGGATACGGATGACGCAAGGTAAAAAATAATTATTAAAATGTCTTCATATTATTTTATTTCCATAGACATTTTGTCATGAAGGTATGATTCTAGTTGCTTTAGGGTAATTGATATTTAAAATATCCTATCTTAATACTCACGTTGTAGTGCAAATGATAGCCAATTAGATTATGAAAGTATCCGTACTAGAAGAAAAACTTGTTTACGTGATAAGCTAAGGCGAGAAGTCTACCAGATCGCTCGATTCACTAGCCAAAATACTAGGCAGTCTAAAGCCTTGGATCGCTACCTAAAGTTCTTGTTGAAAACAACTAAACAAAGTCCATATTTAGCTGCCAGAATATTATGCGAAAAGGACCATGCAAAAAGGTTGGATGGTTATACTATAAAATAGGGAAATAATACCATCAACTTAGTGTACATTCATTTTTTTTATTAGGCTTACTAAGCGTCAATCAGTTATCATCACCTGTTGTTACATTGATGATGAAGAAACTAGATGTTCAAAGAATGCATTACCATATTCAAAATATTGTGATCTGCGTATCTTTTCAGCAATTGTAATAAGCGGTAGCAGTAACAATAAAATTGATTTATTAACCATTTTATCTACTATGCAATTGCAAATCGGTCTACACATAGGTTTGTTGTGTGTTGTTTGGTATTTCTCTTTAACGTTTATGTTACTACAGATATTTCATACGATAAAGAGCAGGTCCTTTTTGCCTCGTGTACTGCAAAATTCCCTGGTGGTATTTCTTGCGCCAAGACTACTCTCGATTTTTTAAATGATAAACCGTTATGTGAAGAACATTCAAAAAAGAAGGTATGACTGTAGTCTATCACAGTAATTGTAAAGTAAAATAGTAAGGTTACGGTACTTTGCATAATTAATTATAAATTATTAAGAGCTGAATAGGAAAAGTATGGAGAACTAAGTAAATGTAATTGAATCTACAACAATTTTTACGCAGATATTGAATAATGGTCCAAGATCAGCAATGAACCAAGATGCCAGAGGTATCAAACGAAAATTGAAAGTAAAAGAGCAATCGAAGAAGTCATCGAAAATGTCTAATAAACTTGCTAAAAAATCGGCTAAATTATCCTCGGAAAGAGAATCCCCCCCTTACATGCTGTCCCGACTGTCTGATAGTGGAAGTGATTTGATTTCACAGAGAACTCCTACACCTCATTCTTTTAATCGTTTATCGCCTGTTTTACCCGAATTTTTATCCAACATGAACATACCTGGAGAGTTTCATTCTCTGGATACAGATATGCTTTTCGATATAGCTAGCGATATCGCTAGTGGGAAAAATGGTGAAATAGATGATGTAACTGCTGAAGAGGTGGCTGCTGTATTAGCTGAAGTTGCTATGGAAGGTAATAATAATAATAATAGTGGAGCTCGTATCTTACCTCCTGATGTTGAAACGCCAACTGATCGTGAAGATAGTGGCAGTGAAGATGATATGACTTCTGTCGGTACATCACCTCAAATTGCAGATCCATCGCCATTGCATAATACTCAATATAATATAACGCATCCACCAAGAAATTTGTCTCCAGAAATCACGTCCAGTTCTGTAATGAAATTAGGGGCGATAGACCCGTTGATGTCTGAGACAATTCGACCTCACCATGGAATATGGTCAAATACGATCGCTAGTGCTCGTGGTAAGGATGTATCGCCCAACTTTATTCGTGGATCATCTGTATCGCCTGGAAATGTAGTCCATAGTGGATTAAATCAGACTTTTTCGTTTGAAAGCTCTGTTATACAACAGTCACCGAATTTAAATGACAATGATAATACATCAGTTTGCGATATAACACCATCTGCATTTGCTCCTCCTCATCAAATGTTTAAATCGACCAATTTTACTTCCGATAATTATTCAAAGAATACCTTAAACCCAAAGCATCGACAACATTCATATACGTCACCCAACACTAAAAATAATAGATCATAGGATATACAATTTCGTACTACACTATGCCAATCGATTAAAGGACATTGATGTAAGATAAATTGCAGATGTTACGGATATAAATTAGCACATAATGTAATATAGCATTAGTTTAATTTGGTGTAAATAAAAGGTTATAATTTGAACATCGTAATTCTGTATGCTTTCATTCGATTGCCTCCTGAAATTTTTCAAATAATAATTTAGTTACTATTATTACCACAGATTTACTTCATTAGGCGTGGCTACTACTGTTACTCAACTGTAACAATCCGAGTACTAGCTGCATTTCGATAGCGGTGTTTGATAAGTTTCATAAATTTACTATTGAATAAGTTATGATCCTGATTGGAGTTGTATAGGATACGAAGCTATTTATCCAATAACAATACTACTGTATACACACTATCAAGGTTGCATCTTGAACTATTGCACATTTACTTTAAAGATATTTTACTGTTATTATTACTAATATGTAAAACTCTGAACAAGAACTATTTTCTATAGGTGTGCAACATTGTTTTTCTCACATACATATATAATTTTTAAATGTCTTTGTAATTATGATACAATTCATGAGAGTAAACGAATATGTTAAATATCGCCAATCGTATACACCAGCTACTATAGGATATACTATATATCTTCTGACTTGTAACTTTAGGGTGTTAATTGTAAGTACCGGTAATGAAAGCGGATATCTTGATTTTAGCTTGTGAGAGCAATGATGAACATCAATTGTATTCTTGTTTCATGGAATCAAAGTACTCGAGTAATAAACCTGTTTGCTTCCTGAACTCGTTGCAGTTCTTGACTAAAAGGGCTTTCTCTTTATCGATCAGAAACAACCAAGAAAAGTAATGTTTAAAATTTATACAATTTATCTGGGAAATATTTCCAAATAGTGGCTATAGATAGTCTGTAAGATTGTAACCGTTTCGTCATATTCTTTAAATCTAACGGGCGATTTCATGCTCTAGCGAATATACAGTACATAGCTGGAAATTGGGTAAAGTCATAAAATCAATTGTTAAATTCATTCTTGTATTTATTAATGACGTAATAAGTTAATACAGAGGTTAGAAATATAAGGTATTATTGATATACAATATGGGTAAAAAAGGTGCATAATTTTTTCTAAGGATCTGGTGAAATATATTAACTCCAAGTTGTTCTTAAATACAAGAGATCAAAGTACCCAATCAAATAAATCCGATAAAAATTTCAATTTACTTCCACTAGGAGAACAATTATATCGTTATGGTACGTTCATTATAGGACTTAGCTAAATTCTATCGAGGGTTTAACAATTATCATACGAATATGTTACAGAAGCAGTAGCATTTCAATAATAGCGGCAAGAAAGTGATAATTTTAGAAATAATAAAATTTACTTTTTTTTCTGGTAAAGAACTGTACAATCAGAAAGGTTACTAGTCTTTTACTTGAGCTGGCACTAATATAAGGATATATTCGTATTAGCTGTTAAATAATGAAAAGCACAGTTTTTTATAGATAGCATTTAACCCTTTCTAGTAGGCTATTATGATTCGTTGGAACTTTCATCTTCGTTTCGAATTGTACTTTCTTCCGTTACAGCAGCTAAGGACGTAGATTCACTTGCTTTCGGCCCGACATCAGGTGGTTTTGTTTCTTTTACCTTGGGCGTACTCGTATGGATTACCTTCCTTTTCGAGGAAGGCGTTGAAAGAGTATTTTTGGTATCGCTAGCCAAGGTTGACGTAGGTACTAAGTGTTGAGAAAATATCAGTCAGAAGTAGCCGTGCTATTCGTGCATGTAACATAGTTTTATTATCGATAATGATTGCATTTGATAGCATACTATTGTACCTGATTCTGATAGTGACACATTTAAAGGAGGTGCTGACTGCCTTCTTTTTCGTGATGGGTTTAAGTATCGGCAGTAAGCACATCTAAATGCTATTACATGTCGGGATGAATTTATCAGCAAAATGGTGGTTATATTATAGACATCAAACAGATCAAACAGACATAAGTATGTATTATGTTAATTATATTATCATTACAATAAATCCCGTGTAATACTATCTACAGGTTCTACATTCATACTTGTGTATTCGAATTCTTCCTTTAGAGCCATCCCATTGTGGCCAGCACAATTGCTACAAATTAGAGCGTATCGATTGGTAGGGCCATCACCAACAAAATACTCCATAATCTAAATATATGCATTGTTGGAAATGTAAAAACACCCTTTTTTAGTCATCCATATACAGTAGATAAAAACGTATTAAACAAGAAATTACCTTATCAGTCATGCTACGATCTTTTGGTAAGATTGGATATGAGACAGGTTCTTTGTTTCCATCGGTAGCAGTTCCTATTGAAAAAGATAAGACACCGGTAAACAATACTGAAGTTAGGCAGTAATTAACGTTTAAACATACTACAATCGGCTACTTGTCAAATTATTCAGTTTATCTACCTAATATTACATACACCTTAATTACGGTGGGCTATTTATGAGATTTAATGAATTAATTCTTACCCACGTACCTGGTAATAAAAGTAAGTAATCATCGTCATCACCTTCGGCTTGTTTGACTGTCTCTTCACCCGAGTGATTTGTTTAGTTTTATTGGTTTCAGTGACTTCATTAGCTGCGTTTATGCTGCTTTCAATATTCTCAGACGTAGATGTAGTATTTTTAGAATCATTAGATTTTTTAGATTGTAAAAGTTTCGATCCTTGAGATATTTGGTCGTTTTGCTTTTGAAGTTTCAAATGTTGCTCCTTGATAATTTTTTCCTGGTACAACAGCTGCTGTTGCTGCCTAAGCGCAACATCGGCTAATACTACTGAATTATTAGCACCATCATCAGGCTTTTTCTTAGCTTTGGTTGCGGCATTCCCTCGTCGTCTAATATCTGGTGCATAAGAAATTATTGCAACAAAGTTTATCTATTGCTGACGATATAAGAGCATGAAAGTCAAAGTTAAATAAAACAATTGAATGTCTATTTAGTAGCCAGTGTAGTACCTGTATTATTAGCTTCTTGATTAAACATCTAGGAAGTAAACACAAAATTTTATTTAATTTTGAAACCGTAAGGCAATTTTTAAGCATTGCAACTTTGACTAAATATACTATGGGCATACCTGTAATTTTTTAGAGGCGGGATCGAATCGTTCTAATATTTCTTTAGCAGTTTTGTAGGTCTCCTTTTCCATTACTTCTTCTAACTACAGTGATGAATAGAGATATTGTAAGCAGTCACTCATTATGTTGTACTGTAAAAATTTAATAGGATATAGAGCATTTCGGTGAGAAATCTAACTGTAGCTTTAGTACAATAATCGAGATATGATTTGGCAAGGATTAGCTCGATAAGATTTTTAGCAAATTGCAGCATTACCACTTTCTTTTTGCTATCTTGCAATTCTCTTAGTGTAAGGTCTAGAATAGATAAATAAAGGTGTAAAATTATGCTGATGTCAACAGTAAAGTATTATTGCCTGCTACTAGAAGGTACATATAGAATAGATAAGCTTTTTAAATTATTTCATGAAAGAACTACACATTATATCGAAATGGAGAGAGTTCTATTAACTGTGACTGAGACGTATTTAGTTTAGGCGACAATTTCACTTACTTGATTTACCAATAGCTTTTTTATACCAGTATTCAAGGAATTTTTTAATGCCATAAGCCCTATACATAATGTGGATTCAAAAAAGAACACTTGCGTATAGTAGATCTTTATAACTATGATTCATAAGCACTATAGTGATCTTAATCAAGCAATTCAATTGCAAGTAACTTGCAGTAAGCCGTATCTGCAATATAATTATCTAGCTATTTTTTCGTAGGTAAGTACAACTGAATAACAGTAACTTTAAAATGGTAATCATAAGAAAAGTTAGCATGAACTAGCTACAGTATAATCAGTCTCTACATAAACGTAAAGTTTGCGGAACATTGCTTCGTTATCCAATGCTTGCCCTACTGTAGTAATGTATAAGTTGTTGTTTTGCTTACCCGAATGGAACAACGGCGAAAGGTAGAGAATAAATGATTTTATCTGGAGTTTGTTCCGGTAGATAAAGGTAGTAATATCCAATCAAGCTTGTAATATATAAAGGAAGGACTACTGCCACTAAATCGAAAGTGACATTTTTCAAGCGATGATCGTAAAGGCGTTTCGTAGATTCATTATTTTTAATTTTCTAAATAATATATGGAACAATGATAACGATAGGATTAGATTATTACAATTTGTTCATTAATTATCGATGCAATGTTGGTTATAATTAAATATTTTGGATGGGTGATAATTGTGAGTGTAGCGATTGGTGATTGATTAGGAAAATTCTGAGTAATGAACTGCATGATTGTTACCTTGCTGTTGTTACAGTTAAAGTTCAATTATAGAAAAATTGTGTATCACTATTTCAATATTTACAGATTTCGTTGATGATTCTCGTCATGTAGCGAAAGCAAGTACTATTTTCATCAAGACTCAAGTTTTGAACGATTCGTTATCATCCAATAGTAAAAAGAGAGACTTTGAGATTGCATATCCTCCAATAAGACATTGGATGATATCTCGACTTTGGTTAATAACGTAGCGTAGATCAATAGCGTAGTTTTGCGGTAGGGTAGGAAACTATAACGGACTTTGATACTACTATTGACTAGGGCATAACATTAATGTTATGAAACTGTTATTGAAAGGATATTACGATATCATGCTACGTTAACCTTGACTATATCCATAATTATCGAATGGTTAAGATCGACGGTAGTAATACGACTTACCTCCTCAATATCTTCCAGAATCTCTTTGGACGATTTGTTTTTCTGAGAGAAGCGTATCGATGAAATTACAAAGATAGAAAATAAAGACAACATTAATTATTAGATGATCCTCACATAATGAGACATGTACATAGTAGATCAGATGATACAATATTCGAGAATACTCCTATGCGTACGATAGGTCAAGACGTAAAAGTATATTATGGTTATGGTTGTGTTGTATGTTGAATTTACGAATTTTTTAACCAATTCACTGATCATTATGGTAGCTGTATTTCAATATGATCCAAGATACTAGTGGAAAAGTATTCGTCGTCTATTAAGATATGTCCATCAAGTTCATTAAAAATGAATTTGCTAGCAAATTGTATTACTGCGATTATGTTGAACAAGGGATGAAAGATTTAGCCTTTTCATTTTCAAATTGGGCCTATTTCATTCGTGGTTTCGATCCATAGGTTGTATTATTTTAGATCATGTACTCATGCAAAAGTCTTATAACTCATTTTATCGACTCAAAAATAGATTGAAGATGATTGAATTCGTTGAAGGCGAGGGAAAGATATCCATCCCGTAAAAGGTTCAATATACAGTACAACGATTCAAGCAATCATCGATGAAAGCGATACAGTTGCCATTTTATTGAACCAGAGATGGTAAAATTAAATTGAATGATGATTGAAATTGGAATTATTTCAATGACGTTTTCAATTTGTGGTTTGCACTCTTATTCCAAAACGGTTTACCTTAGCCTAGTAGAGGCATTCAATCTATTCCGAAATGGATTTAAAAGGATTGATATTATGGAATGCTCAGAATAACGATCAACGCTAAACTAACACAGTTATTGAAGCAACCATTGGTGTGGAAGGGATACGGCTGCAACGATAGCAGGTGAAATAGGATGATGACTAAAATGGTGGTCATTTTTAAAGCCTTGGTTATCATGCTCTATCAATCCATTGGAGACAGTCCATGTCGTAGGCCATTTTCTCCACTGCAGTAGGCTAGATAGAGTCGAAGACGAATGCAAGGCATTCTTCATGAATGAAGGGTCAAGCTTAGAATATCTATAGCATCCATCCAAAAGTAATCTACCCATTCAAGCGAGGTACAATCGCCATCGTGAAAACAAGTCCCAATACCAATCCAAGGTACTAAGGGTTAATTGGATATCCTTGCATCAATAGCTAGTAAGTCGTTTACCGATTTCCAGCAAGGTGCAATCGCAATGGTCTAATGAGTCAAGTGTTGACTAAAAGGGAGTCAAAGAGAATCTCGACCACAATTCTCGTCTCTTTCCATTATCATCGCAGACAAGCATATGGGTCAATTGTACTTTCTAAAGCACTCACAAGACATCTTGCTATACATACATCATCAAGGTATCAAGATTAAATGGAAAGTGGATGGAATAATAATGCTGATGGATTAATTCATTATCCAGCATGGATCATGACTGGACGCAACCGTTAATCTCAGCACGGACTTACCTTGAGTATTCCGATAAAGGAACCCATGTTGAATCGATCGAGTCCGATGGTCTTACCAGTAAAAATAGCAATCTAACACGACTACTAGTAGAAATAACAAGTCAACAACATAATCATCAAGGAAAAAGGAGGAAAATGCTGTCGAATCAGCCAGGAAAAGGCAATAATATCCACTCTTGAACAAATCGATGGCGTTAAAATGGAGGCTCAAGATTTGAATTTGCTGTCGACGTCTACGTCATACCGCGATGGTAACGTCATCTACCGTCTACAGTATTGGTCAGCACTGTAAGTACAGTGATAAGTACTGTGAATCATGACGTCATATGGTCCAGTTCAGGACCAGCAAGTCACTTAAAGGACCACACTACCGTTAAGTAGAAAAACCCAATATAGTCCAGTAGGGGGGAGTCCAAGGTCGGATAATGCTGTCCTCTACAGTATGTTAACATATAGTAAGCGTCGAGGTCTGAAACTTTTCACAATTTGTTCTTTATTACAAGTCCCTGAGATAGAGGTAGTTGTCTGACCAGGGACTTTTAATAAGTACGACTAGATCCCTCGCTCGTTATACTTCGCGTGCGATAGTATACAGTAAGCAATATACTGTTCTAATATGGCTAGACGAAATAAGAGGAAATTGTAACAAGTCCATAGTGCCTCAATCAATGATCATATTATAGACGTTGGACTAGAATCATTAAAACCAAGGTTAATTATATATATACTCGTCGTATATAATATAGTATCCATAATATATACGCGCATATAGATATATAAGTGATATACTCATATATAGATATATATTATATATTAAAAAGATTATTCACTATAGAGAAATAAAACCAACTTGCTTTAGTCCCTTTGCAGTCATACAGTATAATGAAACACTTTGGTATATATATCCTGATAAATTACTGTATATGTTAGTAAGTGCATGTAACACTTTTCAATATATATATATAGATACGAGTATATACCAAAGTATTTCATCATACTGTATAACTCTGCAAATGCAATGGGTCAATGATCATGCCCTAAATTAAACTATTTTGTCCCTAAATTTTCTGCTACATCTGCCTTTGGTGTCATTCTAAATATAAAATGGACGATTTGACGGGATTACTATGAAATGGACTACCTTATGTAATCGTTGATAAAAATAATACATTGACTTATGCATTCTTAAACAGATCTATCTGCATGAGTTACAGTAAAAGCCATTAAGCAAACTTCAGGATACTTTTAAATAATAAGCACAACCTGGCAGTGACTTGGATACAGTATATACTTTGAATTACAGTAATAGCCATTAAGCATGGCTCATGATTATTTCTAGTCATTCTAGATACAAAAGTCGACAGTTTTTATTCATCTCGGTGTCTATCCATGACCTCACCAATTGTAAAAATTCAACATTTGCGCTGGATTGAAGCCGTCCGCTATATAATGAGCATAAATTCTAGTCAACATACGTACAGTAGGAGTAGAATGACCATTACTTTAGTTATATTGGAAAAAAAGATGGAAATACAGCATTGCGTCATAAGAATTCTGTATACTAAATTACTCTAGCGAGTCTAATTCATTAAATGAGTTTTGATCTAGGCTCAGTATTAATTAATTCGGTACGTCAATGTTATAAAACTTAAAAGTTATTCTTCTCTTCACCAGAATTATCCACTTAGTAATAAAATCAGAAATAACAATCTGTTCTTCTCTTCACCAGAATTGTCTTATTGATTATGGTAATATTCATATACTGTAGACGTATGGGTGTAACGCCAAATGATTTTAACTATCCACTTCCGATAAATTAGTAATAGCGAGTTAATAGCACTAACCAAGAAAGAAAATCGAATAGATCCAGTAGTCAATAGCGTTGCCATAACAAATTACGGTAAAATCTGCATTTTGACAATCAATTAGATTTGATGATATTGTCATCCACTGAAATAGTGTACAAATTTAGTACTGTTGTCCTATTACTTAGTTCTTATGAATCCACGATAGGTCAGTTATTAAAATGCGACAAGTAGTAAACTGTTATACATCAGTGTAACATAAAAGCAGCCTCTCCCTACGTGAAAGTGTGCCGCTATTAGCGAAAGTTCTTATAAAAATTGAGCCTCTACTCTTAGCAAACGGTAATAATAACAATCATCCCCTGGTAATACGATGCCAATGCTCTTCTCTTCTCGCAATTAAACTGTATTAAAACCATCACCATGAACAAATATCCATCCGGTGCTTGATCAATTTAGCAGATAAATAATTGTTTATCAATAATTATGAAATAGAATAAAACCTCACCGGATTGGACGATATTTATAGTATATCATCTTCTAAAATACAGGATTATTTTGTTAACACAATTTTTTTAATTCTAATGATATTACTCTATCACATTTTCTTAACCGATGATCACTACACTACAATATAAGCAGAATATCGATGGAACAAATCAGTGTGCCTCTGCTTTATAAAGAACGTAATTCATAAATGAATTAAAGTGTCTACTAACGATAGTAATTTCTTTAGCATAAGGTGGCAGTATTCATCTCCGAATAAAATAATAGAAATACGTTGATTAACTTGAAGTGCAATCTATACCACGCATAATACGTCAAAATCTCCACGATAAACAAAACATCCATTCCGCTGTATGATACATCCAATAAATAAACAATCTTGATCAATAAAATTACAAGATAAATATCTAAACTGTACTAAGGCTACTCGTATTTATCTTATCTCCTAAAAGATAGAATCGAATTTTACTGATTATTCATGATGCCATCATTTTTATCGATAGCTGTAATCGCATTGCATCTTATTTTACACAAAATATTACCTGGAAATGATTAAAATAGTCCATGATTATAGATTATTTATCAGTAGAGAAATTTTAACAGTTTCATCACAAAGATGTATTAATATAAAAGAAAACAATTTATTCGATTTGATAACATGCCACCTTAAGAGAGACAATGCATCGTATTAGATAATATTATTGTATTGTCTAGATATAAAGTCTGCTAGTGTATCAACTTAATTATTGTTGCCTACTATTATCTAGTCTAGTAATCAATCTTTTGTTCAGCTAAACATTTAAAATAGTCTTATGACCGGATTTAATATTTGAACTAATTCACGTGATTATAACTAGATAAACTTGCAAAGAAAAGGAATCATCGTAATGAGAAGAAACGATCGTCATTAAATTGTTGATTCTCATGCAGGTGTGTTAAATTTATTACCATGGCTGATGAGTAAACTTAATCTTGGATTGGCTATTAACCGTTAGAATATGTATCAATTCAAGGATAAAATTGGAAGGTATCGTTTACTACGAAGATAGTTGAAAGTTATCGGATGATAAATCGACTCAACTTCAAATCGTAATAGTCAAAACATTCGTTTATCATTAATAGCAAAATCAGACACAATACATCATCCATTGCAAAACATGTTTGTAAAATTATATTGACTTTCCTCGATAGTTAATCTACTTCTTTACTTGCAATGAATAATGAAAACAAAACTATCTATCGGCTATTTTATAGTATTAACTACCAATTAACATCTCTTTTTTCTTAGAGTAGGCTAGTCTCTATCCTTCATTGATATAGTATAAACAAAATTATCTATGCTCGATAAACTCCTTGCAAATGAATGCCTTTTAGAATTTTTATTTTGTACTATTAACCCGTAATTGAAAATGATACTGTAACAACGTTACATATCTTCAATATTATTCAGTATATTTACTTTCAGTTTTATATTCTTAAAGTGTATCCAAATTTTTATACATTATCATTTCCAAACTGATTATCTATCGTTGCAGTCTTGTTTTACGATAGCATTCGCTTCTGCAGAAAGGCCTGATAACTCACGGATTATTATGGCATTTAGATCGCAAATAATGATCGGTTCTAAATCATCGTCCAAGCCTACCTTAATCAATTAGACAGTGTTATACTTTTCAACAACAGTATAATTAAAAATGGTGTAAATCCAATCACGATTGATATTAAAGTAATGGTGGAGTAATTTTATACTAGCTAAACTATAGAGGTATTAAGATTGAATATTAAGAGTTCATTTCTTCTGTATATTACCATAACCCCATGGACAAGTAGATAGAAAATGATCATTCCTACTTCAATAGACGCATATATCATTTTATCAGCTGATTTTAATTCAATAAACATACGTGTAGGGGTGCATTTAGTGAAGTTTATCAATGCCAACATCCTCAAGACAATACAAACTATGCTGCTAAAATAATCAACGCGAAATTTGCATCTCAACAAGGTTAGAAGCTATAAAAGTCTTTCTTTATTATTGTAATGATGGATTTGTTAGAATCACCACGAGAAACTTTAACAGTTTACTACGCTAATTATAAATTATGAGTTTTCCCAATGCATTAAATCAATTTTGGTGTAACTTTAAATGAAGATGCTTGTTTAATTATAGTAGTCTAGGAAGGAGTTGACGATAGGTAAGGCATTAAAATCAATTGCTAGCCGGTATAGACGTGAGCGCTTGTCTGCTATAATTTTCCCGAAAGATTTAGCAGTAGTCTATTACTTATTTCTAGATGATGTAGATCTTTAATTTACCCTGTGAAAGATTTACAGTGCATTGCTAAAACTTACTATTTGTAGAAATATTTCAATACTTTCCAAATTACTCTCGTTGCTGTTGCAGCTTTAAGAAACTAGAGATGTCGTATTTTTAATCTATTTTCTAATCTACCCCGCAAAGGAATCACTGCGTAATATTGACATTTATTATTTGTAGAAATAAATTCATACTTCAATACTTTCCAAACTACTCTTATTGTTTTTGTAGCTTAAAGAAACCGAAGATGTTGTATTCCTAATCTATTTTTTTATCTACCCTGCAAGGGAATCATAACGTAATATTGACATTTACTATTTGTAGAAATAAGCCCTATTTCAATACTTTCTAAAACACTCTTGCTGCAGTTTGCAACTTTAAGAGATACTGTGTTTCTAACCTATTTTAAATCTACTTTACGAAGAAGTTATGCTGTAGACTGATTAATTATTATAGCCAGTAATTAATTATAATTACCTTAGCATATTCATGCGCGAAAGTACAATCTGCTATCTAAGCGTATAGTATAAAATGAGTTTTTGCCTGATCATTTTAATACTCTTATTGAAGTTCGTTGCTTAAAGAAATGGTACTGATTACAATTTTGATCTGTCAATCTATCATACTTCAACGATTTAATTTCTACTTTCATACCATTAAGAGATTTATACTATCAGGTTTATTCAGATGATAATTTTATTTTTTGGATAGATATACAAAATATCCATCGGGAAGTAAGGATATGTCGAAAGTTGAATCATGCCAATATTGGTAAATTGTGCGGCTAATCATACTATATTAGAAACTGCCAGTAATATCAGAACATATGGCTCTTCTCTGCTATAGAGTTTTAAGTATTAGTGAAACTTGTATTATACTCATCTAGAGTAATATAGGTATCTTCCCCTCTATTTAATCAAGTTTTTCTGTAATTAGCAACCACAACACAGCGTCACTTTCCTTTCTAATATCTTCAGAATCGTATTAATTTTCGCTATATGAGCTACTCATTTAATATGATCAATGTAATATCTATTCTTTTTCTATATTAGTTCGCTTCTACGAACTAACCCAAGGCGATAACAGCTATTGCATGATATTTGAACTGTAAGCAAGGAATATAAATAAATTTTAAATTATTAATCGCCAAATCTATTATTTTACATTACCAGCCATGCACTGTAAATGAATATTGTTATGACTTCATTTTTAAGATAGCTAAATCCTATTACTAAACTAAACACTTCTATGTACGATCTAGAGTTACAAATGGTGAACTGTTCCAACATATTTCTAAGCGAAAAATATATACCGAGAGTGATGCTAGGTAAAACATACGATTACTTTGTGTACGATTTAAAGAATCTCTTCAAGGCTTAATTTGCTAGTTAACGATTTATCATCAATATATAATATCCAATAGCAGAATTAGGATCGATTTAGCTACGGTATTAGACACGGCTAAGTATACTAAAAGTCTAACACATATATTAAATCGAAAATTATTTACAATCCTTACAATTTGAACAAAAATTCTATAATCAATGTTGATATAATTCTGCAATAGTAGCCTAATATCATAAGATATATATAGTAACTGAATTATTTATTCCTTTCGAGCTATTTCGACGATTATATATTCAAATGGTAGCTCTATATTATCAGCATTTACTTTAGACAAATTCTGAAAGCCGTCAATCATTGCCATCAAAATAACATTATCCACCGGGATATTAAAGTAAGTTCATCATTTACAGTGCATCTTTTCGTTAAAATGGGTGTAATCTGAATTTTTAAATTAATTTAATTCTATATGTAGAATTTAAAAATAGTTCGGTTATAATTAAAAATTAAATGAGGTCCATCTGTTTATATGATTCTCCTTTTAGTGAAAGTATTGATCTTTCTACTTCTATGTTTTAAAACTTATGAAACTAATTAATAATATTTGCTTTATGTAGCCAAAGAATTTGATGATTTCCTGTAGTAATGGTGAAGAAACTGTGAAATTAATTGATTTTGGGCTTGCTATTGAAGTTCATCCAGAAATACAAGAATGGCATGGTAAATAATTAATTAATATCAGCATAAAAGATGATCGGAATTAAATACTTAAACTGCTATCGTAATCAGCGACAGTAACAATGAAAGAAGATTACTCTCTAATATGCGTAGATTTAAATATCTTTCAAGGCTGAAATGTTAATATAGAAGAGCAACTAAGTAAACTAACATTTCAGTTGTAAAGCTGTAGAATCGTTTTTCTCCACAATTTATAATTTACAAAAATAATATTTAATAAGTCCTATACTAGTAAAAGAAACTATAAGTACTTTTTCAAATAAGCCAAGGCAGGGAACTAGGTGAGTGTAATAATTATAAACTTTCGATAAAATGACCAATCTATCTTTCAATTGAAGGTTTTGCTGGTACGCTTAAATATCTATCACCAGAGATGATCCAAAATCAACCTTATGGAAAACCAATCGATTTATGGGGATGCGGTTGATACTAATTGAACTATTAACTGATAAATTATTTCTAGCATAGCGAGACTAATACTGACTGGCATTCTTATAATTATGAATAGGAGCTGTCCTGTATGCCTTATTGGTGGGTTATCCACCTTACTGGGATGATGATATAGAAGTATTATTTGAGGATATTATAAGGGGTTCAATCAGTGTAAGGCTATCAAAGATATTACAAAGTTTTAAAATAATTTATGTAAATTTTGTTTGAATCTGTATTGTTCTTAAGGTTAAAATTACCTATTTATCTTTCTTTTAACATATAAATCAGTATCGATATCACGGATGGGCTTCAATTTCCATTGAAGCAAAGGTAACCAAGTGTAATAATTAAATTAATCCTTTCATCAATATTAGTGCTATGTAATTATAGTATGGATTGGTTTAAGTTCATGGTCTCTGTACTAAAGACGTTGAAATATAATCTAGGAACTTGTCAAAAAGCTGTTAACCGTCAATATGAGAACTAGGCTGACAGCAATGCAAGCGCTACAGCATCCATTTATTTCCGTAAGTTTATGATGAATAATGCTATGAATACAAAAACAATTATCAGAACTTGTTGAATTTTTATTCTTATTTTAGTGTATATATATATATATATATATATAAGTATGATTTGTCAGCATATCTAGATTAGAAATGTAGATTAATCCTAATCAGGTGATGGATTATTTGTTATGATTATAGAATCGTATCATTTTCGAAATAGCTTGTCTGAATATTGATCAGAGTTTAAATTTTTATGGTCATTATTGCTAGGATTGGCAAAAGGTTTGCTCAAAAGATCATCAGCAATATACCGTTAATGGCTTAGCTAATTTTGAATCAAGATCACGTTTACAGGTTAGCAACTTGACTATTCTGCGTCTTAGAACAACTTTAATACTTTATTAGTCGATATATTGCTACTCAATTTGTCTGTTTCCTTACGTATGATAGGTTATGCTAGGATAACCACATGACGAATGCTTGAGGGAATATTTGGATTCACTAATGAGATACTTAAAAATGAAGGCCTAATTCTTATCCTTTAGTATCGGACAGAAATAAATAAATTCATCCCAGCATTCACTTTTACTACGAACGAAAAATAGACCAGCACCTGGCTAATCAATATGGCGAAGATTTAAAAGAATTGCTATTTTAATTAGCACCATAATCAATATTTTATTATTATCTCGATTTATAGCTCGTATATCTGATATACAGTCGCAAATTCTTTCCATTTTGTCGTAGTTCTATTAATAATATCAATATTTCATATCTCAGCCCTATTTATTTCAGTATTAATGCATACCTAAATATGTTACTTACTTCAAGTATTCATGCATACGCATATATGTATATTTATGTTATTTTAAAAATTCATAAAGGGCAGCACATATATAAACCTATATGTCATAAGTATATTGCAATTATTATTATTTATTGACTTATTTTAGTTCACTTAATGGATGTTCCAACAACTATGTGTACGTACTATCGACCAATAGATACTTGGTAATTTTTATACGTTCCGGAATGTCTTCTTTCCCTTTATTCAAGTATACTTTACTGACTAAAGTTAGAACTAAATATATGTCTAATAAGACATGTTATTGAACGCTTTCTAATGTAATTTATCTGCCTATTTAAATTGAACTGCTGTATGAAATAGTGCTGTACTATGGACAGAACACTATGCTGTATTGTGAATTACAGATATATATTTATGGTTAACTAATTCTTAACTTATTAACTATTATTCGTAAAATTTTCCATCACGAATATACTCATACAGAAAAAGTTGAATACTTTCGAATAAGTAATAATCAAATAATATAAAATAATGATTACTAGCAATATTTGAATGTTAATAAACTCATGAGTGTGTCAAAAGTTGGTAAAATAGACTCTAAGTAGATATAGGAGTACTAAAATATACTCTAGACATTAGGATTGTTTTTGAAGACTTTTTGTATTTAATGGGTTAGTCTGATTGATTATAAGCTCATATCAGATGATATTTTATTAACTTAATATTGTATGTGCTAAGAATGATAAAACTGGTTACCGTTCAAAATACAGGAATGTTCTGAATATTCAACGCATATAATATAGGATTACTTTATTATCTAAATAAAAACTTTTAACCTATCGCAAATACCACATCTTTAGAATAATAAGTTTGATTCTTAGTCCTTCATATCGAAAATGCTGTAAACGTAGATGCTCTTTTTTGTTTGCCACAAGGGAGTTATAGAATGCTATAATACAGTACTTACTTTAAAGTCAAATTTGCGAATTAAAAAACGTTATGAATTCTTATTTTAATACCATCTGGATAAACTATGGTGTTCCATCATATTCTTTTACTATAGTATTATGACAAATATAGTAGCTGAAGTTGCCAAATATAATTTTGATCTCTTCTTACTTTATAATTGCCGTAAGCCAACTAATATATAGACACTATAAGACGTTTAATAATGCTATATATTAAATATCTACAGATTACTTTTGGATCTTAAATACTTTTTGATCTTGTAATTACTAAGATTATCAAAATGGAGTAGTCGATAGTTTATCGATAATATACCCCTAAAATTTATTAACTATGACAATTATGATACACCACAGTATTGTGACTTTATCGCATTTTTATTCTTGATGAGGGCTCAAAATATGGCAATAACGATTCTGGTTAAACAGTTGATAACATTTGTACTTAATAGTTAGTAATAATTAATACTTAGTAATCTCACTTTATAATTTTAATATCATCTTTATACTGATTTATATGTGTGAGTATACTAGTATATCCATTTTAATTACTTAATATTCATATCTTAACTACCATTCCTTATTGTAGATAATAACATAGGCACAATATTTATCTTTTTTCCGAAACAATTATTGTCATTTCTACAGAATTATCTGCGCATCCATCTCGAAATATTTACCTTAACATTCTAACTATATATTTTCCTAGATATGGGATGGTATAAATGCAAAACTAATGATTTTATGACGACCATGATCACCTACCTCTATTAAATTGCGTGTATATCTACCTTAGAATATTTTTATACATTTTGACTCATTTATTATTATGATACGTAAACACAATAGACGTCGATCACTATAGATGCGAAATTAATACGTTCTAGATCGAGTTGCTTTAACTCGACGAAAGTAGCTTTTAGGTGGGTCATTTGTCCCCTTTTTTTTCCTTATATCTGTTAGAGTACCACGCTCTGATAGATGGATCAGTAGTTGTAGCAAGATGAATAGCATAAAAATGATTGTATAGAATGCACCAGCTACAAAAAATAAATTTCTTGCACCATGATAGGTTATAACAATACCACCGACAACCGAGCCAATGGAGCAACCGATACCACAGTAAACGGCTTGAAATATACCTTGTGCTGAGCTTATACTGTGTTTTTGAGCTGCTTGGCTAAAATAGGATGTAGCACTAGCGAAAAAGAGTGCTGTTATCATACCGATCAAAATACCAAGTGGTACAGCCAACCAAAGAATTTGCAGAAATGCCAGCGACATGCAAACAACAGCGGTTAAAAATATGCAAAGACCCATAACTCCAACATGAGTTAAATAATAAATTGCATTTTGAGCCAAGAAAAATGATATGGCTTCAACGATATGGATAGTAACCCCGATACAGCCAAATAATAATGTGCTTCCACCTAAACTTTGCAAATGCCAGTACATAAATGATGTTAATATACCCATTGCAGTACCTAAACACAAGCTAATGCACAACGTAGAACCATAACGAAGTGAAGTAAAGAGCTGCCATATATTTGAATATTGATTTGGAGAAGTAGATCGTTTATCCTTCAACTTTGCTAGCATTCCCATTTCATCATTGGAATCGGTGCTATAACTAAATACTGCATCATCAGAATCATCATCTAATTCACTCTCACTAAAATCTTTATTAATATTTTGTAAGCGATTTTTATATTGATGGTAATAATGTCTGATTAACTTTTTAGTTTCGATTCCGTTGCTGTCTTCATGATATATTTCATCGTCATGATCAGTATTGTCTGTAGTATTTCTATCATCACCGTGCCGATTAATTTGGCTTGAAGAAGGGTTATCTGATTCTGAAAATTGAAATCTTAGCGCAATGACAGCTGCAATGCTCATCAGTATTAAATATAAGGAAAATGCAATGTTATAATTATGGCCCATGACGTATATTTTGCCGCAAATTTCAATTGTCATGATGGAATGGACTAAAATTAAGCCCGACATTAATTCGCCAGCTCCAATACCTATAGCAGCCCAGCAACGCTGTCGACCATATTCTACTTTCTTATCCTCTAATTGATATAACGTATAGGTATCGACTAAAGTTAACGACGGAGCTGCAATCATTTCACAAATGATAATTATGACTAATATGCAAATAAAACTTTCTTGCAGATCATAATGATCATATGTAAAATATGGATTATCAACGATGATACTGCCATATCGACGAAAATAATAACCTTCATTATAGCTGCCGTTGGTGAGAGTGTATGGATTTTCAACTGTATACATTGGAGACGCTTGGAAAGCCTCCGATGTAAAGGTAGTATTGATGATGATATCTGAAGTTATATTATCAGGTGGGCAATAAAAGCTAGGAATGGGAATAAAATTAAATGCAAAGGTTAATAGTCCTCCCATACATAAAGCTGTGATTAAAATTGTTTTATGACATTGCAATCGATCAGCTATCATTGAAAATATCATGATACTAAATGCTTCCGCCAGAGGTCGACAACCCATTAAGATTCCTAAATGCTTGGCATTGATTCCCAGCTGTTTAAAGTAAATCGGTAAGAAGGGCTTTAAACCTCCAACAGCAAAGCTATAGATGAAATAGACTGCTTTGGAAAGTAATAAATATCGGTTGATTTTCCATGATGGATAAAAAGAAGACTTTAGAGTTTGTGCTTTCTTCGAGCTTTTATCGCCATCAATGCCATCTTGATATAGAGTATTGGTAATTTTCTGCCAGGTAGTCATAACTAACGATAATGGTTAATCACCTATAGCTTCCTGAATTCGAAAAAAACATAGAAAATGATATTAATTGCTTAATGTACATGATGTAGAATTTCTGCAGTCCATATCTATGCAATCGAGAACGTTCAGTGAAGGGTTTCACGTAATGAATACATCCAATGCTGGTTTACTCATGAATTGTTTTAGCTCTCAACCTTGAATACATTTATTTTCGTAATCTTTAGGGTATACTATAAGATGCAAAAAATTACTAGCAGATTTGCAGGAGATTCCTGGGAATAAACAAAAGTTAGCGATATAACTTACCGGCAACGCAGTAATTGGGCTATACTAAAAGGTATCTGCTGCAAAATGATTTTATGGCATTGACTGGATAGCACAATACTGATGATATCGCACCACTAGTATTAAAACTACAAAAGATAGGTTTGCTATCGTATATTTAATTCTATAGCGTTATGGATAGCGATGATATCAAAATGAGATTTTGGAAGGAAATAAGCTAGCAGCTGTAAGACAGTGTAATATTGTATTCTAAGTTGATGATATATTTAGTAATGTCTACCGTAGGTATTATGTTCAACATATGATAGATATTCTCGTTAGAGGCTTAAGTATTAAATATAGCTAGCTTAGTAACTGTAATCCTTTTGAAGAGGAGCGCTACAGTGCTCACACTAGAGCTTCACATGAAAGGTGTAAACTATCCTGTATTTGAGATGCTAATACTGAAGTGTGTAGTAAGTAAAGTGCTAAGACTTCAAACGGGGAAAAGTATATAAGCGAGTAGTTTAGTATAGTAAGATAGTTCTTTCTCGTTAGAGGTCCTCAGCTAATTGATGACGTTGTATCTTCGTAAAACGAGGTTTTGCTCAATAAATCTTAATTTATTCTAAATTTTTTAAGATTCTTGATCTATCAACCTCACAGCAGCATGGAGAAATTAATTAATCTGTTTGCTGTGTTTTCGACTTATTTTTAAAGCAAAGCTTTAAAATTAACTTTGACCAAGATCCTATGAATTAGCTTAAAGTAATGAAATAAGCCACGATTGTATGATTATTAACTGTGAGGAATTAAATATGCTATGACCTTACAGCAAACGAAACAAGGTTTCTAAGTCGAGAAAGTTTACGAGAGGCAATCCTTAATTTTTATAAATCGCCAAATCAGAAAAGATAATAATGGGTTTGATCCAATAACAAAGAGTCTGTGTTATCGTTGAGTAAAGAACTAGCTAAATCTTAAAAGTATAAACTCTTTCTGTTTATAAACAGTATAATTGTATAATTGTTTTATTTTTAAATAGTTTAATGGTTTAGGCTGAAAAATCAGACAGGTTATAATGAATGGCGGACAGGTATAGGAGTTAATGAACAGAAAATAAGTTGATAGCAATTATGTAATTAAGATATGAAATGTTATTCTAACAGTTAAGGAAATGAATCTAATATCATCAACGATTTTTAAGACCATCTACTGCCATGTTTAACTCAAGATCTTGCTTACAGTGATAATTTAAAAAAAGAATCAATATTATTGATACTCCTACTTAATGGAATTATACGTAGTTGCTTTCGTTAGCTAGATAGAATGTTAAGGACAATTTTGTTACTAAAAAGCAGTGAGACAGATAAATTATTTATCTAAACACCTTACAAAATCCTATATAGTTATTTTTCCCAATGGAATGGAATGTCAGCAGAAATTTTAGCTCGTAATGATACAAACAAGCTATTCTACAAAGAGTCACAAATTTGCCGGTACACCATATCTCTCGGACGTTGGAAATTTAAATAAATTTTAAATTCTAATTCATTGCGGCAACTAATTTATGCTATGAACGTTAAGGCTGTTAATTTATTGCACATACGCGTGTGTAGTAAAAACTGGTTCTTGTAGGGTTTATACATATTGCTGAGTCTTTCATTTAGCTACTAGCGAGTTCTTTAGTAAACTACGTACTTCTTCAAGAAACGTGAAATTTAAGGAAATTTCAATTAATTGCGGTAACTAAGGTATGTTGTGAGTGTGGCGGCGATTAATTTAGTGCTCATTTACATGTATAGTAAAAGCCGGCTTTTATAGGGTTTATACGTGCTGTTTAGTCTTTCATTCTAGCTAATAGCGAGTTAAGTAGCAAAGTACTTATGGCAGTTACGTTACTGAATCCAATGTAGCGATATGAAAATTACGATCTGCACCAATATGCACCGGTGCTGTAATTATACGGAAGAGATGTAGATTACAATCCATCAATCTACTATTTTTCCTCAAGTATTACTATATCATCAATCAGAACAGATTAATGAAAATACTAGACATAATATTGTCCGGCATTTAAAGTGCAGTAAAGTTAAGGAAAGGCGTTAATAACTTACTCGCAATGGCTCTGCTTCTCGACGAAAAATTCGGAATTTTTAAATATCGAAGCCAGGTACCTTCAACTGATAATTTTTAAATCAGAATTGAGTAATTCTTATTAGTTTAATTTTCCTTATCTAACATACTTGGCGTTCTTTGAGTCTATTATTTTCTGTAACTTCATTTCAACATCGCCTGTAGGCCTGATGGTGTTACCGTTATCCTAATAGGATAGTGTGATTGCAGTTAAAATATGATCTACTATAATAAAAATCTCATTAATCAAGTTTGATAATTTTACTTCTACATTATTTTATATCTAAGAAGAGATATTGTATTTAATTTGATCATAGATTATTCTTAGATAAGAGAAATTCTCATTTACTTAGCGTAGAGAGCTCGATGGACCTTTTTCATTTTCATGAATAAAGTGGGTACCAAGGAAAAGTAACGATTTTACGAATGCAATTTTAAAATGAGTTGTAATTAAATGTTATTTTGTGCTCATTAATTCATTCTACGTAATTTTTATTTACATTGTGATTGATGCTGATAAAGATTCTATTGATAACTAGTATGAACAAGGCCTCTGTTAGTTAACTCCGTAGATAAGACTGTTATGAAATTGTTATAGTAGATAAGAAATGGAATATTTTTAGATAAAGAAGCCATATAGTTTAACGTTAGAGAAGAATTTAAAAGCGTATATTGTCATGGTAGCTATGCTATTTGATCTATTTATTATTTCTATTGTCCATAAGAGAAATCAATTCATTTCATACGACAAAGAAATAGAAAAGAAATTCATAATACAAGAAGAAGATTTTCAATTCCTTAATTACGTCGTCAGCCAAGACTATTATGACTTAACAGAGAAGAAAATTGTCTATCAATAATGAGGCAGTAATGCCGGATAAAGATTAAGAATGTTAAAGTAAGGTGATTACTGGATGACTGATACTAAGGATGAGCAAATTACAAATAGGCTTTATTTTTTATTCTAATTAAGGGTTAGGAAATTAAAAGCGATGTCTAAAAACTAAAAAATATAGCTTTCGCTGAAATTTTAAAACAAGATCCTTGTCTGTTTGAGACATTAGAGTCATCTCTGTTCATGTTTAGATCCATAACAATCTATTAAAAAATAAAACTTGCACATATACTTTCGAGCCTTCATCCGATCGGGCATTGCTTCTGAAGATTTGACTATGAACTATGCACGTATTATGTATCACTACTATTTTAATGTAGCCGCTTCTTTTCTTTACTTGAATCATATCGAAGAGAGATGACAAAAGTTTCTTCTGTTCGTGTGTAAATTTATCATTAATACGGAATTATTACGTGATAATATATTATGTTATGACTAAAAATTTATCTGTCTGTTTAGACGCAATGCAAGGAATATCGTAATACAGGTAGGCATTAGCGATATCCGAAAATGAAATTAGAATCGAATATGTTTATAAAATGAATTTTGAATTATTATATTTGGATTAATTATTGTAGCCATGTAACTACAGAAACTCTTTGCAAACTTGTAGCAACTTCATTTTGTAGTCATATAGAACTAATTCTTTACAACTGAAGACCATGATTGTTTAATAAACTCAAATTAATTCTTTTAACCATTCTATAATTAGCCATTATTAGCTATTATTTCGATATGCCGTAAAAGTAAACTTTTAATTTATACTATTACGTTACTGTACATCAAAACAGAATGGTATCAGGAATGAAATACATCTCTGTCCTTGAGGTACCGATATGATAAATAAAAAACAAATAATTTTAGCCGAGAGAATGCTAACTGATTCTTATTTGTCGATGACGCAATTAGACGTATGATCTTTACTCTTGAATACTTAACAGAACCACTTTTAGGACTTTCGTTCGAAGTTACTGTGTGTATTTAAATATAGTGCAGTCCAATAGACACCTTACTAAATTTAAATACAAATATAAAACAAATAATACATTGTAGATTATCACCTGATACCGATTTTAAGTTAAGGCTAAAGAAATAGTACAAAATGTTTAAAAATAGTAAAATTAAAGTTAGGCTTGTAAGTGTGATACTGTTGGAACTCTCGAAGCATTGGTACTTGTGCATCATTCTGCTTCTTAATATCCATTCTAATAAGTTTTGTTATTATTGACATAATATAAATTGGTTCTGATAAAGTAAATTGCCTTAGCGTAGTAGTATAATATCAATTCAGGATACTTTATTCTCTTAAATATTTTAAAATATTCGTGATGGATCATGGTCATTTTTACGATGAAAGATCCGTTTATTGACAGCTGTTACCATAATTTTTATATTTATATTTATGCTTGCTTTTAGAATTAACCATTTATTGTAATGTGATATAAAACTGTACTATAATAATGAAATATTTGCTTGTGCCGTAACATAAGGTGCGTTGTAATTTATAGGTTTAAGTTAGATTTTAGCTTCAAAGTTGGGTAGGAAATAATGGATTAGTGAAGTAGCAATATTTTAGACCCAGTTTGTATGGAGGCGAATGGATGCTGTGAATTGATAGCATATATCAATGGCGAGTAGTCCTTAACATACGCTATCAGAATAGTAGAGAGCATATTGTAAAGGATTGGTTTAACTTTCTATAAATAAATTAGATAAATGAGCGATAGATACTATTAAAATTTTTAAGTTTGATTTCATTTTAGTAGAGTACGATGTAAGCGAAGAGAAATTTATAGTTTCATCTATAAGAAAACTCTTAGCCCGTTCTATCGTAATTCTATAAATCCACAATTATCATAGTTCACGTTTAAATTGATAGCTAATTAGTTTAGCACTATTTTAGCGCTAGCTTAAGCAGATGGAATGATGCTATCAGATCGTGCATCAATATTATAAAATTAACTATGTGCTTGTTCATGATCACGCGTAGAATATGGAATGCATTGATTTAATAGTTTAAAAATAGTCATATTTAAGTATGATTAATTTTGCTTCAATTGGAATTATAAAATCGTATTGATTTTTAAAGGTTGCATAAAATGTTATATGAAAGCAAATTATTAGAGACAGATTCAAATACAAATTTAATCGATCTTACTAAACAGACGGAAATTTTCTTGTATAAGGTATATGCACACCGCAAATGTTTTCAGTGAGAATCAAAGACCAATCTGTATATAAATATAAAGCAATATACCATACTTGCCAATGATTACAGTGATCATTATGTTGTACGAAGATATTATTAAGAAATTACTCTAAAGTTGGTAATATGGCACCAATAGATTCGAAATTGACATTACAAATTGACTAGATACGAGTTTATGTGTAAATCTTGTGGTAATTTAGCACTTTATCATAGGAAATTCATATATTGTAATTGATATTAATTCTTACTAAAATTAGATTAGCTTCAAGTATCGTACTAATTGAAAAAGTATGGAATGCTCTTTCAACCCTACTTAGTTAAGACGGAATTAAAATTTGGTATGAAATTAATTATCAACATCTTAAGCTATGCATGAATATATTATGCGTAAGATGAAATTGATTTTAAAACAAATATAATAACATCGAAGTATTGCTATGTTACAAGATTTTGTTTTCATGTAGAACTAAATTCGCCTGGTATTTATAATATCAAGAGTTTAACCTTCTATCGTATGGATTAGAGACCTGCCCTGTTAAATTTTATAATGAGAAAATTTTAATTATCTCCTCATGTACTTTGCAGGCGAAGTACATATCGAATACTGATCTATATGATACACCTGGTATTTGTAATATCTAGAGTTTAACCCTCTAACGAATGGATTAAGATTTAAGATTTATTCTGTTAGCTTTAGTAGTTTTTAGTTATTGAGAAAATTACTATTACAGTTATCTCCTGTATGCACTTTGTGTGCGAAATGCATCTCGAATGCTGATTCTTGTAATACATCTGGTATTTGTAATATCTAGAGTTTAATCGTCTATCGTATGGATTCGAGATCTATCCTGTTAATTTTTATTATTAAAAAATTACCATAACAATTATTTCCTGTATGTACCTCGTGCGTGAAATGCATATTGAATACTACTCCTTGTAATATAATTCATTTTTTAAAGTATGTCGCTCATTACCGTAAACTACGTGCCTTCTAAATTGCACCATCATTTAGGCTACGTTGAGAGTAGCTAATATTCTCAAGTTTTGCAATCTGTAGTGCAAGGATTGATTAGTGAGACTAGAGTATTGAGGTATACTTCTATTCATTACTAACTGTCTATATTATTTTCGAATATTGAAAGAAAATTATTTTAAATTCTTTCAGGAGTAATTTCACGTTTCGATAGCAGATTAATTTCGATTAAATCAATCCATACTTTTAAGATTAATACGCAATACGAATAGAACAGATTAAATAGAATTTATTAATGGAGATTTCATGCATTCACTTCATTTCGTAGTAGTTACTTAATTGAAGCGAAAATGTAGATACAAAGCAATGGAATCTCATAATAATCTGGCAGAACATGATTTGTTCAGTCGCAAAATAAAATATTGTGCAAGCTATCAGTAACAATTTCATTTTCAGTGTAAATTTATTTTAATACGGAATTAAAATTTCTTCAGCAATAACGTTAATGAAATACATTCAAAAATTTTATATACGCAATTTTAAAATGCAAAGCAAAATAGATAAATAGTCGCCTTTTAACCGTTAAATGGAAGTTACTTATTAAGGAAAAACTTTCATAAGTAAAAGGGATTATCGATCTGAACGATTCGATACATCTCTAATAAGTCTTTTAAAGACCAAAAACATACAGTTTGGCATCGTTATGCTAATATCTAAGTATAATTTTCTACATAGAAATTCAGTCGTTGACTTATAGGTACCAGAGCAAAATATTGGGTATAAACCCAATCACGTTTAGATAGTCTTACTCTAAACACGTAAAATTGTTTATTTCTGTTGCGTTTAGCATAGTTCTTGATTATATAATTCGGTCGATTATACTCAAGTCTCTAGTCAAATTTAAAATGAGATAAATTTTTCTCAATCCTGCATCTTTAAAATCTGAAATAAATGTTTGATAGTATACATGGCTGCCGATATCTTTAGGCTAACTTCTTGTTGATTTTAATGATTATATTTGTATCTTTATGTTTTTATAAGCAGTAAGGCTGCTCATAAATTACATATCATTGATATTTTTGCATGGATATTTAGCAAGAAATGATTTGCAACCATCTACAAGCGTTTTCCAAAAGTCAATTGGTAGGGCGTCTTTATTAAATAAGGCACCATATCAGATATGTTTTGCTTTAACATAAATAAGGATCGGAAATAAAATAATTGAGAAATGTTATATAAGTAAGCAGAGCATTAACTACTTTTGAACTAAGCAGGATATATTAATAATATACTTGTAATCTTGATAACATAATTTTGACTTTCTTGTTACTTAGGTAATTTTGGCAATCTCTTAATCTTAAATGTTGCTGTCGGGCCCAGTATAATAAACTACATAATATTTTTAATCTCTTATTTTTACTGTTCAATCTTTGGTATTTTAACCTTTTAACTGCGCTAAGGCATTATATTCCGGGAATTTTTTCGCTGGGATAGTTGCTGCTATCCATGACAGCTAATTCTCGAAAAGTTATTGGTTCATCATCTTCCAACAATTCCTCAAACTCTTCTTCTAATGATGGCAATCGTAATCTGTCATACGATACTGAATTAGCTTGTTCTTCTCTACGTATTTTCTCATCGTGCCTGCGTATAAGATATTGAATAGCCCAAAAAATAATAAATAAAATAATCGAAATTATCCCATAGACACGAAATACTAGAGCTGTATCATAGTAATGGATTAGCAGACCAGCTAGAAATGCACCACTTGCCATACCGAAGCCATGATATATGCTTTGCAATATGCCAATTGCTTTTGGAAATTGGTGCTGAGGGATTAAGTTATAGACATATGATATGCTAGCAGACCAAACGAGGGCATGTGTTAAACCTTGCAATATTTCAACTGGCAGTATTAACCATGCTTGCTTTACAAATGAGATGTAAATAAAGCGAGCAGCATTAGCTATTAATGCAATATAGATTAGACGAATTGGGCCCATAGTACAAATTAGTCGATCAGATAGAAAATAACCTATTAATTCAGAATTTTGGTTTACTAATGTTGCAATGCCGAATAATAACGGTGTACCACCATAGTCTTCTAAATACCAATATAGGAAGGTAAATAGCACCCCATAGCAACAACCAAGGAACCATAAGATGATGAAAAACGATATTATCCTCACAGTGGTTAAGAACTGGAATAATCCTGAAGGTCTAGCTTGATGCTCATATAGAAATGCCATATTTTCATCGACTAAATGTAAAGCATAGGTATCTACTGATGCATTGTTTAATTTAAATTTAAATTGGCTAGCAGTAATAGCGGCTAAAATCATCATAATCAAGAATGAGTAAAAGCAAAGTTGATAATTTCGCCCTAATGTAGATGGATTACACCACGGTAATAAGTAAAAGTTGTCTTCTAATAAAACACTAATTAATAATGTGGATAAACTCCAACCTAGATTTCCCCATAACCGCTGCAATCCAAATTTGTCGACTGACTGACCAAGGTAAGCTAATGTTGCGATATCAGATAGTGTTTGTGCTGGAGAAGCAAGAATTTGACCTATACAACATATTAACATTAAAGAGAGAAATAGTTTTGGTTGTGGCCAATAGCCAAACGATATTAAGCTAATTTGGGGTTTATCTTTTTCTTCCCTTCTATGAACATTGCTGGAATGTTGATCTGGATTAGCATGATTACTCGATGATGATGTTGATTCAATAATGGGATAATGGTCATTATTGCCGCTGACTAATTTATCATCCAGTGTAGGAATAGACTGATCATTGGTTTGATTTAGGAGAATTGTAGAATTACGATAATTTTCCATGACATTTGTTCCAACTGAAGAAAAAGTAATTGTGTTAACGCTTACAGTTGTAAGGTTGGATTTGGGTTGCAATTCGTCTGTTGTAGTACAAGAATTGCTCATTGGAAGAATAAACGATATTGAAAATGTGACAGCAGCCCATGCTAAGATAGAGACCACCAGAGCAATCTGATTAATTGGTTTTTTATGTGCAAGACGTGACCAAATTAGCGCACCAAAAGTGTCGATAAAAGGTCTAATTCCTATTAATAAGCCGCATTGCAGTGGCGATAGCCCAAGTTGTTTATAGTAGATGCCTAAAAATGGCAATACACAACCAATAGCTCCCCAGAAGAAAAAGTAATAAATTTTACTTACTAATAAATCAATGTTAATAACGTAGGCAAACCGGCAGCATCGGCCACGATGGTAAGTACCGGTAGGAATAGAGTCACGATTATTTTCATATTGATATCTTTCATCTTCTTGATGGAATGCGTTATCCATTGACTGCAAAGGAGAATAATAATAACATGTATAAATTGAAGACTTTGTTATTATTTTCAACCGATTGAATTCTATCGGTTAACCAATCACATAGCCAACCATAGAACAACAGCTACGACCAGAAAAATGAGTATAAGCGAGACTTTGGTAGTTTTGATGGTTGTCGAGAACAATTTTTAACTACTGCCAATGGATAATCGATAAAATTAAGATGGTAAGCTAAAAGTAGAATAAAACTGGCTATTTATTATCCATGATAAAAGGTGATGACAAATCTTGTATAATATCGTAATTATCTTGAAATAGAGATTAGAAAGCGAACTTTGAATGCAATGTCAAGGTGTTTGCAAGTAATGAAGAGTGGCTTCCACCAACGACGCTAATTAAAAATTTTAAATTTATTTGTAATCGTTTTATATGAACAGTGGTCTTTATGAGTGGCTATACCAATTTCTATTAGCGCAGCATAATGAGATAACTGCTGTAAGGTTGGAGCATATGGTAAATTGTAAATTTGTTAATGATTTGTCGATATTCTACCAAGGTAAATAATAACGTATTGGAAGGTGCTACCTCACTTTATGTCTTGATGATTAAGGACGATATAGTTTTAATTTGATATTAAGAAAGTCCTTACTGACAGTTACCCAGCCTAATTCTTGCTATTGGTTATTAAAATGGATTGAGTTAGGAAATGTCCATATTGATTGCCACTGGCGATCATGCTATTCCGCTTGTAACGCTGGAAAATTATCTTTTACTACTTCTCTCTTACACTGATTTTGAATTAAATTTGCGAAGCCAATCGTGAACGTAATTAACGACTCAACAGCGTTGCAATAGCTATATACACGTACAATTTACTACTTAAAATAACAAGTTAAATGAATCAAACCAATGGCATCGCTATTTTACCATCGATGTCAATACGAATCAGGTGCACTGGGTAATGCATAACAGATATTGAACTTATACGATGAAAAGTATTAGTGTTAGGAATGACAAAGAAAAATGATCGTATCGACAAGATCAGGCATAATTATAGAACTATAGACTTTATTGTTGATTCTAATACGAATTGAACATGTGAATGGGTAGTAGGTAGAACGTCTAAAACTTCTCGACGTCATAATCTATATTAAAATTTTATTTATCCAAGTCTAGAAAACTTGGTTCACAAACAGACAATACTAAGTTACAAAAACTATAATCATTTTCTTGAAGAAAGTGGGTTAGTTTCCATAGTAACTGTCATTTAATTCGTTAAGGAAATTTTGATGCGATAACGTCTATTAGAATAGAATCAAAGGCTGGTTATCCCAGGAGGGAATTTAAATTGATGTGGAAGTCTATAAATAGAATTGGCTTTATTATTATTATGATAATATGGAATGCAAAGAAATAGTCGCGGTATCAGCTCAAGAAGTTGGGGGGTAATTGCGGGTTTGATTAACTACCGTATATTAAGATTGACCGATAATTAGAATTAATCTGAGGTGTTTGACCTACTTTATGTAGAGGATTATAAAGTTTTTTAATATTATCCAAGGAATAATAATACACTGATATTGATGTGCTATGTGCCTACATTATAAATGATTTTTTTTTTTAATCTAGTCAGGGTTTCGTAGCTTAGCCTTGAACTACTAGTCTAGAAGTTATGGCTCGATCTTAGATGAAGTAGAGCGTTCGTCGACAACTTGATTGATCGTTGAGCTGCACTTTGAACATAAACAAATGTTCTTAGGAAAGACAAAACATAAACAAATGTTCTTAGGAAAGACAAATTCAACAATCCACTGTTTCTCCTACCGTAGAGACTCCGGGAGAACCTATCGCACTCACACTCAAGTAGCCCCAATCTAACTGATTTTTGGGTTAATTAAGTTACTTATCACGAACCGATAATTATAATGATTGAACTATGTTTTACATAGCGTATGGATAATTGTGTACTCATACAATACATTTACGGCAGGTTATTATCTAACTAGAAGACCAATCAGCTAAGTAGTTAGAAATTTAATCAAGCTTGCATTATAATAATTACTAGATAACAACCCGTCCAATTGAACCGAATGTGTGATTTGCTTATGTTTCCAGTTAGCTGTATTTGAACTTATAAGCTGGTTCTAATACGCTTTACTACGTAGTTTTGATATATTAGACAATAAGATTACGAACGATAATATCATGGAGTCGATAGAGGTACTTTTTATTACCTCGATGATGGAGTCTAATAAAATCCAATCTAAAAACTAGACTAAAATCTGCGACAAAATTATATCGTTGTTGAGCTACAGAACTAGAATAAGTCAATTTCTTTACTATAAATGATGACGTAGACCAGTGAATGAGCTCCCTGCTACTCATAGTAGACAACTCAATTCTATGAATTCATTATAGGCGAACCCATTCATGGTCCACGCATAATTTCTATTTATGCAAAACGTTTTAAAATTGATGTTAGCATACACGCCAAGTCATAAACATCGTCTTACATTCTAATTACTCTTCACTCTGCAACATATATAAGTAAATAAATATTCAAAATGATTGGCGGTCGTTACCAGTATCAAAGTACTACTAGGGTTAGTGTCAACTAGAGTCTACAATGGTTATTACAAGGTAATAGTAAACTCAAGTTGTTCCAGAATAAAATAGTTCAATGAATACCAAATCTATCGTGATAAATCGTAATTCGAAATATTGGATACAGGATATGTAATGCTAGTAAAAATGAAAAGCTGCAAGTTCTCAACTAAATCGTAGCAGAAGAATATTTTATTTTTTCTGATTTTAACTCATGATTAAGTATCATAAGGTAGGATATACGTAGCTAGTATTTACGAGTAGTTAGATAAAATTCTACGATGCAGCACGTAACATACGAATAATTTCATTAATACTGGTCCACATGCGGAGCGACAGCAAATATAGTCATCTAAAATTTCTCAATACGGAATTGTACTATATTTAATCGACATTATAAATAGAGTATTATTTACAGTAACCCCAAATTTTCAAACTTAATTGCCGATATATTGAGCTAACACTAATTTTTAAAACTCGCTATCATATGAGTTATCATGCATTATATACGTTATTTCATATTTAGGCTTGCAATTTATACTTCTTTTCTAGTGTGCCAGATATCATGAAAATAAAACTTTTATATTACCAACTTGTTAATATCGAAATAGCTATGTCGGGCTGCAATTGACCTATATTTAATTTGAATATCAACTAGTATAAAGGTAAAAATAGTACTTAATTAAAAATGATAAAACTTAAGATAATCAAAGCGTAGTATCCTTGGCCACTGCGGAAGCTGGAAAGCTGCCTTTCACGTGATCATTACGTCGAATACCAATCAACCATTCTTCATCCTAAAAATTGGTAAATTAAAAGTAATTCAGTAAGCCATTTTTGCCAGTGTGTTGATCAGAATGAATGATTTTATATAAGTAGCCGTATTACCTCATTATCTGTACGTTCTTTATCAAACCCAATGACGTTGATATAATCTCCTTTGACTAAGCTTAATACATCGGGATCGGTACCTATGTAATTAGATTTTGCACGAACCTGCATAACGAAGCACATATTTTTATTGCAAGGGAGGTTCGTTTTAGCGTTATAATCGATCAGAGCAAGTAAGTTTGCGTATTTATATAAACCTGATAGAGCACTTTGTCGGGCTTGTTGCTAGCTTTCTTAACTCTAGCTGATCTTGCACTAGTTGCCTTCGATTCTGGTGCAGATTTTTCTACGCTATCCTTATCATCTTCATCAGCGCCTCCAAAAGGGTTTCCAGCGCTTTTATCTTCGTTTTCGTTTTCATCGTCGCCATTGCCAAAGGGATTACCAGCACCTTCATCGCTTTCTTTTTCTTCTTCCTCTTCCTCTTCGTCGCCAAAAGGATTTCCTGGCGCTTCATCTTCGCTGTTATCATGGTCTTCATTACCAAATGGATTTCCCTTTCCTTTATCCTCATCCTCTTCTTCTTCGCCAAACGGATTACCTTTTCCTTTATCTTTATCTTCATCATCATCATCTGGATCACCAAAAGGATTAACCGGTTTTTCCTCTTTTTTTGGCTAAGATGAATGTTATATTTATTAGACGGTTGGTTACATTTTATTTCTGCAATAAAATCAATCTGTTTTGGTTCGTACTTTCGGAGCTTCTCGCTTTTTGCGTTCTCTCACTGGTGATTTTTCTGTGAAACGATAGGAAGTACAGTCTGAGTTTAGCAACCTTGAGTAGTTTTATTTATAGCTCAAACATTTGATTACAACGTAAGTAGGCTTACCAGCTGTAGAAGTATCGATTGTTAGCCTTCTGCAATTTATGATGACGAGTATTAACAAATTTAGTATTATTCATTATGTAAATTAATAGGTTGTTATCAATTGCTATAAAAAATGTCACCTTACCCTGAACTCAAGTTAGGGCTCGATCTAGATGACGCTGAGCGTCCGTCAACAACTCTATTAATTAGATCATTGAGTTGCTCTTGAACCTAACAAGTGCCATTGGAACAGGCCAGGTATTAAAATAACTCGCATTAATCAATGTATATTCCTACAGTTCAGATTTTTAAGGTTACTGAAGTCTACAATAATGCAAACATGAAGCTAGTTATGAACTAAAATCTCTACAAATAGGGCATTTTGAACTCAAAATAAGTGTTTACTTAGAAGAAAAGCAAAAGCAATTGTACAGGTTTATTAATAGTAGTTCCGTTTTGATTACACTTAATTTCAACACTGCATCTTACCTTGGTTATGTTTTTATTGAATTCTATTTGTGTTGCAAAGTAAGATTGTAATGTGGATACATAGAAGGCAACACGACTATTATCGTAAGATAAATTAAAAGTAACATTAGTGATTAAAATACAAAATTTGTAATTATAACATTCACTTTATCTCGTAAATAATAGATTTGTGAGCAATGGCAGTAATTACGAGCGTATGTTTACTTAAAATAGTGATTGTTTTATCATTGGAATCTAGTTAGGGACTTGTAAGACAAGTTTTCGTCAAAGTCTCTGATCTAGTCAATCTACGCAAAGTTAGAGTAATTTTCTTGCGTTACTTATGGATAAAGTTTGTACCTATCGTAGATAGCAGGCAATTCATTGGATAATTGAGTATTTAATTCATCGTAAATTTTCTTTGAAACCATTTCTTCTTCTTCAAGTTGTGATATTTTACGATCATCTGCTTTACCTTTCTGCTTAGCAGACTGTGGAGTAAAAAAAGTTACTGATTACATGCATTCAGCATGAGCTAAGTTCATGGTTAATAAATTGAAAGAAATTACTGATAAATTACGTAATTGGTTGATCAGCTCATGGACGTTTGGTACTTACGTCTAAATTGTGCCGACAGGCATCGTAATCAATCAATTTGCGCCCTCTTTTTGCTATTCGCGACTACATTTGTAAAATTGCATTGGATTAATTTAATTACGTTTATCATCGTGATAATGAGACAATTAGAATAAGAAAGATTATTTTGTGATAACCTTAAATTCCGGAAATTGACTCTGGTATATTGCAAACGGTGACACTACTTCTTCTGATAAACGTAGAGCTAGATTGTTCCAAAGCGTTTTAGAATCCTCAAGAGAAAATCAAATTACACAGGATTACGAATAAAGTTTACAACACTTATACCTTCAATTGAATTACATTGACCCTGTAGGTTACAATAGTGAGACATATGTAGAGGCACTTTCTACCAGTGTCATGCTGTGAACTTCCGTCGTAATTAACTAGAAGACTGTAATAGTAGTTGCTCTAAAAATGTCTGTAATAGTTGTTGCTCTAAAAATGTTTTATGTATCTTCGATCAAGGCTAATACTGCTAAGAAAGTTTTAGCAAGCGCTTTCTAGAACGTAATACTGTACTGCTATGGCTAATTGATTTGGCAAGATTGAAGAAAAGATCTACCTCAAAAACGGAAACTAGTTCACTGTAACCTCCCCATTCACCATCATAAACTTCCGAGATAGCCTCATTAAGGTTGGAGGCAGCGGTTTTCATGTCTAGATATCATATTCAAGTTGGTTATCAATAAAACGTATTGGAAGCGGAAAAAGTGCAGAGAATGAGTCAAGTATTGTGACAACAAAAAAAGTTGAGCAAGCATATTGATCATGATTGAGAATGACAACAAGAATGATTTGATTTATCGATGGTATTCAGTTCAATGAAAGTATCATTTGTTGAACCAATATCACCTTTTAAGCAGGATAGATACTGTTTAAATTCTTTATGTAGTTTATGAACTTCAGCCTAGATAAGAAAAAGTAAGATAGATGAAGGATTTAGTCATTACAGTCGTGGTAGAATGAACTATTTTATTGCTGTCTTGTCATTGCGCTAAGTCGATAACATTAGCGTAATTCTCAACATGTAGATAGCATAATGTACAGATTAGAGACCCTAGGGTCTCTCGTTTCAATCAATTGGGCAGAAAAATGGCGAAATACATCAGTAGCACAGTCACTGCATCTCTCTCTCTCTCTCTCTCTCTCTACATATACAAGGTAATGTAGCATAGAACGTCGTCTAGTAGTACAACCACAGCGATATAATATAGTACATAGTATCAATCAGAACGATTCATTTTGAGTTCAAGCTAGAGCTTACATTTGATTTGTATGCTAAAGACAGTTTGAACGCTAGATTACTATTTAAGACTTGTTGGTAGGTTAGCTACGATAGAATCTACCCAAGGGAAAAAGTGTTCTACCAATATAAGTACCTGCTGCTTGTTAAAATTATTGACATGCTCGTCAAACGATTCATCTCTGGTTTCATCGGCCTTTCCAAGCTTTTGTAAAACCTAAAATGAAAGCATTCCATTATCATTAGTAAATTGAGGCAATCCCTTGCATAGAGGACATACAGCTACTCCATTTTGTCTGCAATAATACAGCACTAAGCAGGATGGATGTTGATCATGGACATTCTGAATTAAGTTGTATTTTAATCATTGATTATCCTATCATGGTCTACGTCATTCGTCGTGTATTCATGCATGGAATCGCTTTTATCATCGCATTTTAGTTTAAAAATCCAGTTCCATACCTTTTCTTGTGCTCTTCTCGCTTTCTTGGAGAAAAAATCAGGCATTTTGTAGCAAAAGTAAAGTGGAAAGTACAACCAGAGTAGAAGAGGATAAGCTGGCAAAAGAGAGCAATTGGATTCCTGCTTCTGTGCCACCACTTACCAGGGTTGACTTGAACTCGATCCTGGTACAGCAGGCCGAGGTGGACATTTCTTCTTGCTTTTACTACTCTACTATAGACTTGTAGCATTGGACGATACACTACTCTACCGTACAATACTGGCTGCCTACTCCAAAATGAAAATGGACCGGGCCCGAAACCCTATGCGCAGACAGCCTGAACTCGCATTCGGATGGACGGACCATTTCTCCAAGCATGGTTTGAAAATTATCCGATTTGAGTACTCGGGTTATTGAAGGACTGAAAAAGTGAAAATACTTGTATCTGCAGTAGAGTAATGATGAGTGAAATTTGGGGATTTGTAGCCCGGATTTGGTTTTCATACCCGAATACTCGGGCTATTGAAGGACTGAAAAAGTGAAAATACTTGTATCTGCAGTATAGTAATGATGAGTGAAATTTGGGGATTTGTAGCCCGGATTTGGTTTTCATACCCGAATACTCGGGTTATTGAAGTACTGAAAAAGTGAAAATACTTGTATCTGCAGTAGAGTAATGATGAGTGAAATTTGGGGATTTGTAGCCCGGATTTGGTTTTCATACCCGAATACTCGGGCTATTGAAGGACTGAAAAAGTGAAAATACTTGTATCTGCAGTATAGTAATGATGAGTGAAATTTGGGGATTTGTAGCCCGGATTTGGTTTTCATACCCGAATACTCGGGTTATTGAAGGACTGAAAAAGTGAAAATACTTCTATCTGCAGTAGAGTAATGATGAGTGAAATTTGGGGATTTGTAGCCCGGGTTTGGTTTTCATACCCGAATACTCGGGTTATTGAAGGACTGAAAAAGTGAAAATACTTGTATCTGCAATTCTGCAGTATAGAGAAATTTGAGGATTTGTAGACCGGGTTTGGTTTTCATACCCGAGTACTCGGGTTATTGAAGGACTGAAAAAGTGAAAATACTTGTATCTGCAGTATAGTAATGATGAGTGAAATTTTCGGATTTGCAGCCCGGATTTGGTTTTCATACCCGAATACTCGGGTTATTGAAGTACTGAAAAAGTGAAAATACTTCTATCTGCAGTAGAGTAATGATGAGTGAAATTTGGGGATTTGTAGCCCCGGGTTTGGTTTTCATACCCGAATACTCGGGTTATTGAAGGACTGAAAAAGTGAAAATACTTGTATCTGCAATTCTGCAGTATAGAGAAATTTGAGGATTTGTAGCCCGGGTTTGGTTTTCATACCCGAGTACTCGGGTTATTGAAGGACTGAAAAAGTGAAAATACTTCTATCAGCAGTAGAGTAATGAAGAGTGAAATTTGGGGATTTGTAGCCCGGGTTTGGTTTTCATACCCGAATACTCGGGTTATTGAAGGACTGAAAAAGTGAAAATACTTGTATCTGCAATTCTGCAGTATAGAGAAATTTGAGGATTTGTAGCCCGGGTTTGGTTTTCATACCCGAGTACTCGGGTTATTGAAGGACTGAAAAAGTGAAAATACTTGTATCAGCACTCATGAAGGACTGAAAAAGTGAAAATACTTGTATCTGCAATTCTGCAGTATAGTATTGAAGAGAGAAATTTGGGGATTTGTAGGCCGGGTTTGGTTGTCATAGCAGAGTACTCGGATCATTGAAGTACTGAAAAAGTGAAAATACTCATTATGTCAACCGAAATGAGCCAAAAAACCATCAGCTTCTCCATTATTTAGTACTGTATCGTGGACGATTGCTTTACGTTCCTCTTTTCTCTTCTTTCTTTTTTGTGGACGTGACATGGACGACTCAAAAGGAGACGGATCTTCTTCTATTAGTCGTCCATGTCGCTGATCCTGACCGTGGTCGTCCATAAGCTGTATCACGTGATGCAGATTCAGATTGGCTATTGCCATTTTTGCATCAATTTGTACAAAATAGATGGCAAAGGCATAATTTGAATGGATATGGACAGATAGCTGTTGACTTGGTGATTCTCTATCCGTAATTCAATTTTACATTGAAGCAGTCAATTGAGCGCTAGAACCATGCAAAACGAATATTTTCCAAGTACTATACTGTCGTATTTTGTATCGTACTGACAACTCACTCCCGACGCTGATGGAAGTGCTGTATGGTTGGAGCGAAGGACGCTACCAACATCACTCTGATTGATATTTTCTATTTTGGCTCCGAAACACGATTGGACTTTAAAGGGTAAGATACGAAACGCAGAACCCAGCCCGATGGTTGAGGTGATTATCCGATATTAATCCGGAAAATAGCCCTGTCTGTATGTTTATTGAAATGCGTTTTGTATCGTCAATAAAATCAGAATTCCACGCAGAACCCAGTCCAATCGTTGAGGTGATTATCCGATATTAATCCGGAAAATAGCCCTGTCTGTATGTTTATTGAAATGCGTATTGTATCTTCAATAAAATCAGAATTCCACGCAGAACCCAGTCCGATCGTTGAGGTGATCATCCGATATTAATCCGGAAAATAGCCCTGTCTGTATGTTTATTGAAATGCGTATTGTATCTTCAATAAAATCAGAATTCCACGCAGAACCCAGTCCGATCGTTGAGGTGATTATCCGATATTAATCCGGAAAATAGCCCTGTCTGTATGTTTATTGAAATGCGTTTTGTATCGTCAATAAAATCAGAATTCCACGCAGAACCCAGTCCAATCGTTGAGGTGATTATCCGATATTAATCCGGAAAATAGCCCTGTCTGTATGTTTATTGAAATACGTTTTGTATCTTCAATAAAATCAAAATTCCATGCAACGCAGAACCTAGTCCAATCGTTGAAGTGATTATCCGATATTAATCCGAAATATTCCATTGCACATTGCGCGACCGCACGAGTGTCAGTCCATGACTCATTTACCAGTGTACAGGACAGCAGAATCCTTTTCCAATCCGATGAATCAGCACCTATTCTAATTCTAGGCGGGCATTTTTTGACCCAATCCGGCCTATTTTTTATATGTGGAAACAGTAAGCTCTTGTCGATGGATGCATGTATATCATGTTACATTGGTTAATACTAAAATCTTTCACTTCATATGAAAGAATTGGAAAGGAAAAAGATCACACTGTGCTGCACAAGTACAGTACAGCGGCATCTTTGTACAATCAAATCATACGCCAGCAAGGGATAGTCGAATGGGTGGAATGGCCACGAGTTGGACTTGTACAATACAGTATAGTATAATTACAACATCAGCGACTTAATGGAAAGCTTGAGGTATGGATCAGTGTTCAACACTGGCACAGATATTTTGTGAGTGGAGAAAGCTTGTAAGAGTAAAATACGATATACGACAGCATTTGCAAACTAAATGCTACAAATAAACCACATCATACCGCATGACATACTTGCAGACAAATTCAATTGGTGCGTTTTTGGATTGTATTTATTTATAGTATACAACTATGAGCGCCAATTTTCGATCCATAAAGATAATGATATTACAAGACGATAAAACGATTTTACTTTCATAGTAAGACTTTCTGCCCAGAGATAGCACGATTTGCCTGATGAGTAAATACAATTTTAAAAGTATATTCAATATCCACTTTGTTCTGTACTTTTAAAGTTGAATGGTTGCTATGAAGCGAATTAGAGAAATTTCCATCACGCTATGTATATATTAACTTAACTTGGAGCAATTCTAGCTTCAAAAATGTATCTCTTTCCATTTCGTTATGAATAGTGAAATGCATAATGGCAATGCTACTTTCCGTCTCTTTGTATAGTACTTAACTTTACATCCACGCATCTTTCTTAGCAGATTTTATTTTGGATTATATGTATAGAGCTAGATATACTCTATTAAGCGTAAATATCATATAGGCTTTATGATATAAATTGATGTGCAAAAAATATGTACCTATATCGTAATAAATTGGTCCGGTATAGACATGTACAACTAAACTGCAATAAAAGAAATATGTACCTATCATATCCCATCATACAATTATTGCTTTTAGTAAAATTGGTCCGTTATGGATAGGTATAACTAAACTGCTCGAAAAAAATATGGACTTATCAGACACCAATCCAAGGTACGACTGGGCCATTTCTAAGACTGATTTTGTTCTTTACATTAGTTACGGTCAATGCTAAGACTGTAATCATTCCTAAGAATGGTTGGACAATCTTAGCAATGATTACACTTTTAGCATTGACCGTGACTAAATGTTCACGACAAAGTCAGCCTTAGGAATGGCCGTAACATATAGACCCATATTGGTCGTTTTAAGGTATATACTGGCCTAGGCTGAGTACTCAGAACATCCAATAACCCCAAATATGGAACGATAAATATTCAGGTTATTGATTAACTTTTTTTAGTCTGTTACAAACATTCCCCAAATTACCATCACAAGTATTAAGGTAGTCCAACTAGTTTGAAGGTGTACAGCAATATGAAATTTTAGTAATTGCCGCATGCAGCATCTTTTATCACATATAAAATATCTGATTGATAGGACTGTGTTATCAAATCGATATTTATGGCATATATTTACATGCGCCTATTATGTAATGATTCTCAAGGGAATTTTACTTCATGCGTAAGTACATTCTGATTAATTACGGGATATTGATGATTCATTCTTAAATAATTATTTTACTATTTTACTTGATTACTCATCGATTATCATGGCCAGATGTTAAAAACATTTGTATAAGAATTTGTCACTCTATCATTGAATTTTTAAGTTTATGGTATTTCTTATACGAATATATTCAATGATATAATTCAGTGGTATGTCATTTATGAGGGCAGAAAATGTTTTAATTAAGTAAAGATGCATGCTACTGCTTGGATATTAGCTTCTTGGGGGAATGACTTTCAGTTATTATGATTCAAATGATTAGCGGTACTACTTTACAATGGTAATATGTGTTTTATTGTTTACCAATTTGATAGAATAGCTGAAAACAGAAAATAGAATCGAATGGAAATGTTAAATTAATTAATGTAGAGAGTGTAATTGATATACGATACATAAACAGTGCTACAGCTGTGTCTTAAAATTTGGTCTACAATAATTAAGTTCTTATTATCATGTTATGATATTAAACTAGTCTGATAATATCATATAGTTTAGTTAGTGATAGTCAAGCAAATTTTTTTAATTGCTTCGATTGATCAATAAATTTATAGAGTATAATCAAACTACTTTAAAGAGATTTCTATCGTGAATAGATAATATCATAACGCATGCAATCAACTACAGCTATAAATATAATTATTGAATTTTAATTATCTTTATAAAATGCAGACCGAAAATAATGCAAAAGATTATTCATTCACTGTAATTTTGTTATTGAACTTTGAGAACAGCAAATTTATTTTTAATATAGATAATAATTACGAGATGTCTGGTAATATAAGTTTTAAAAATTTTGAAGTTTAGATTTATAACATCTTGAATCATATACAAGTATATAAACGCTAATTATCGTATTAGGATTGAAAAACCAAAGTACGTATAGATATACTTATATAATAAAGATTTTTTATATATGTTGATTTCATATCCAAGATACTGTACTTTGATCATCTTATGATCGACAATAATCAATGAAAGTATATATTTTATCTGATAAATAGAATAGGATGGTAATAGCGATTTTTAACTTAAGTAAAATAATAAAGGTACTGCCAGTAATAGGTTAGGCAGAATCTACAATCAAATTTTCCGGACAGTTTACTGTAGGATAAGTTAAGGCATACATATAAATACAGCTTTTGATGCTACTGTCAATTTAACAGGATATACCAGTATTTCTAGCTATACAGAATCAATTTAAGTTATTGCTGAACCATTGTTATCGTTATTTTCGTTCACGCTCCTGTAATACAGTTAATTAAATTAGTACATTCAATAACGTTAAAAGTGCTTGAGATAGGAAGATGAATAGGCAATTGTTGACAGGAATTGATTGAAATTTAAAATTTACCTAGATCATGCATTGAATTAACTAAAAATTACATTTTGAAATCCTATTCAACAATATGACGTAAAACAAATGCCATCCATTTGTCCTTGACGGGCTTAACTTTTCATTTCTACTTATTATTGAAAGGTTCTATTTAGCTAATTATCGATTAATGGCTAATAGCAGTTAATATTTTTAAAAAATAATTCCGTAATTTTACATAGCAACAACACTTCCCTAATTATAGCAGCATAAGTAAGTGCTATCCTACCGATTGAGTAAAGAAATAATATTACTTTTAAAGTTAGGAATGGTCTTACTTATCTTGATTATATTAAATGAGATGTAATTACAAGTGACAGACTGATTAAATTTCCAGTTAATGCACTCATGTAGCAATAGCAATCTTGCTAATGACAGTGGTTCGCACCGGGTCCAAATGGCTTGATCTTGTTACTTTATCATCAGTGTCTGGATTTGATTTTGTATGACCTCCAAATATTCGACTTAGGCATGTAAAGTTGGATTTGAGTACTTTTTTAACCTCTTCCTTAATAGAAGCGGTAAAAAGTACTAAGAGTATCGGATGGCTAAAAAGATAGGCAACAGCGATCAAATAACTTACGTAAGTGGCAGTAATAAACTGTTGACCACGACTTTCAACGTAAATGATATAGAAAGCAAAAAAGGGGAAAAAAGATAGCGCATAAGTTCCAAGCATCATAAGCATTTGAATTAGCGCTTTCTTATGATTAATAATTAATTGGAAGGCTACGTTGCGTGGTTCTGGATTTGAATTTTCAGTAGTAGCTGGCCAAGTTTTACGCGTTATAGCATATATCTTATAGATTATGGATGTATAAGCGAATAAAGTTACAATGGGAGGTAGGAATAAGGTAAAGGGGAAAAGTACGTAATAAAATGCTACTTTAACGCTATAAATATCAGTCCAGTTAGAGCAGCCTTGATTAATTTGAATTGCCGAAATTGTTACTGGTAGATAAATAATGATAAAGGGAATAGTCCATAGTAGAATAGTGGCAATAGCTGTATTTTTTCTGTCGGATAGTTTTTGATATTTAAATGGAAAAATAACCGAATAATATCTTTCTAGGCTAATAGCAGTAACATGGAAGTTAAAGACAGCACACAAAGTTAACTCTGTAGATTTGTTTAATATGCACAGTAATCCTGTAAATTTAGTAATATCCGAAATAAGAATGGATGCGATAGCACTTGCTATTAATTCGATCGCTAAAACGAGGCAAACCACACAGCTACTTAACAAGATTGCGTTGGATGGAGTTTTCAAACGATCTTTGCATACTATTAACATTACCACGCCGATGTTGGTAACGAGGACTGGGGCTGTTATAATAGCAGCCATGGCATAGCGATTAAATGGCTTGGTGGTATTATATGTAATAAGCGCATTTAGACTCATTCTGATCGAGATTTTAATATCACGAATCGAACGATATTTGTAGCGTTATTTATATTTTAGAAACCTGATTACAGTTGACGCCTTGTAAAACTTCTCTTTTCAGATAAAGTGAATGATTATATTTGAGTAAGGCTTGATTTTGATGCTATTTAGACAGAAAATGTCGGTTCCTTATCACTTAATCTTCGAATTGGAGAAAAGTTATGAATGGCGTAGATATACCGTTGAAAGAGATATTTAAAAGTTTTCTAAAATTTTGACTTCTTCCACCATCCTATTCGTAGTTACTGAACGCCGATTTGACAGTTAACATCACTAGAGCAATCAATTATACTTGCTTTTTTCATTGAATAGTCACTTACAAAAACAGAGAATCTTTTATTTTAATTAAGACATCTATTAGCATTCTGTCAATAAAATAATTTTTCATCAAGATTACAACAATTCTCACATAAAACGCCTGTGATTTCGATAAATTTTATTTCTATTAATATTTAGAATTAATTGAATGCATTGAATTTTGATATCGAGATGATAATGGAATTACACAATTATATAGTTTGTAATAGGTTATTTAAATAGAAATGAAAGAGAATGTAATACTATTGTAATTTGCTAAGCAGTTAAAATTGATCAAATTTGATTTACGTGTAATATAAATTTATGTGAATAATGCTGTTCGTTTACATTAAATTACTTGGAATAGCTCTTTTGAATAAAACAATTCACTTTAATTGTTCATTAGTAAAAGTAGAATCAAGTTGGAAGCAGTTGCATCCGTTTGATAAGTATGATATCGCTTTTAGAGTTAGAACGCACCAAAGTCAGGATTACAAAATTATTTTATCTTTAATTTAATTAAAGTTGGATCTTTATAATGTGATAATGTCAATGCTATTTTTAAATCTTATATTATTTTATGATGGCCGTAAAACTAAACACTAAATTATTACTCTAAAAAAAATCTTTTTGAATTTTTGGAGACAAATCAGAATTTTAAGGCCATTATTAGATGGAAGAACTTTATTTTGTATTATTAAGTTACTGATTAATAATTACTCTTCCATCATTATTATTGTTTTATTACTTCCATAAGTCAAATTTGAAAATTAACTACTAAGATCAATCATATACTGAGATTTATCTAGATAGCATCTTAATCAAAACAGAATGAAATGAATTGTATCATTGACAAAGGAGTACTTGAAACAAAACAAATTCAAGATTGTTGACAGCAATAAGAGCTATTATTATCCTAATTTATTAGCTACATTGGGAAATCAATACGATATTCTAGGTAATGAAAAGAAAGTACGATTCCTAGATTGAAAGGGACATATGATAAGAGAAGTTTCTTTATTCTTCACTTTTTCCGATTGATTATTTGCTACAGAAAAAAAAGTAGGGACTTAAATGATATTCTTCTATCATAAAATTTATTATCTTTTTATAGAATGATGAATCAGTTATTCCATCACATTTGATGTATTAAAAGGCTATTTAATTGATAAATAAACCTGTCTAGCCTAATAATGAAATAGATATTACGTGCAATTGAAAAAAAATGGGCTGTGAAGCGATGGTTCCCTTGATTAGTTTATTTTGATAAGGTATTCAAACTAAAGTAACAATAGTTCTCCAAAGTGGTACCGCTAATTAATTTAATCTGTCCATACATTGTAAGGAATTCCTCAAATTTAGAAAGCTACCACAAATATGCCATTTGATGTACTTTTCAGTTAATTGTTGAAGAGAGCGGTTGAGCGCTTTTATTACTCTAATATACTTGAAAGATGGAATAACTATATCGATTTCATGTTAGGCCCATTAATCATTAGAATAATCGATATTAGGTTTGCAAATCTAACTTATTGATATAATTTCACGTCAAATATAATATAATTTTAACGATCACAAAAAATTTAAATTAAAAAAATCGATACAAGTCGTCATTCGTTATCTAACTTTATCATGTCAATGAAGTATTATTTCCTATATAAGTACTGGGTATGTTGTTGCTCGTTTATACATGTTCAATAAAGAGAATCGAAATGGAAGAAACTTGAAAACAATAATAACATTTAAAATACAATTTGCGATTACCTAGTTATAATAGATTATAAAAGGCGTTTTAACGGGTATTTAACGGATATTTCTCCTACGTGTAAATTTCGGTGCACTAGATCAACCTTAAATTTCAAGATCAATAAATATACAACTTATCATAATTGTTATATAATGGTACATTTAATCACATGCCGATTATTGACGGCAAGCGAATATTAAATGCTTCATAAAATTTGATAAAAAGTATAATTTATTTAAAACTCACTCAGATCGTGTTAAACAGCTCTGTCTGCTAAGCTACTTTCATCATAGAAATGTCATAAGAGATTTCATTTACATTTGAATGAAAATGGCTCCGCGATGACGTTAACTTCCGTCTATTAGTGGAAATAACGTTATGATTTTAACAAAGAATTTTAAACAATTATCGCAATGTAAACATGGGGGATACGCTAGGATGGTGTCTCTATCATTTTATCGTGCCTATGAATTGTAATGCACCTGTTCAATAACTCATTTAATATGGTAGGGTGATAGACATATTTGTAGATAAATATTCGATTGTTGCAGCTTAATGTTCTCTATTAAGCCGTAAGAAACGTGATTTTTAATTCTTCAACAATTTTAACACTAATTGATTAATCCATTTTAAGTTGGAGAATATAAAATGATATATTTTATTTCATTACTAAATGATACATTAATATTCTGTCTAGCCTGACTTTTTATTTTAACCGTCTTCATCATTCTCACTATCTCATTTCTTAATATGTTGGGTTAAATTTACTGAAAAATATTATTTTATATCATGTTATTGTAGGTTACCTTTAAGAAAAGGTGGCTTATAATGGATTATCGATCTAAAAAACTAGCTTCATTTTGCGTCATCTTTTATCATCTGGTTTCGTTGAGAAATGTTGCACACCCTGGCGTAAATTAATCGGTTGCTATAGTTGCTAGATAAATGTAAAACTAATAGGCTGATGTATTTACTGTTAGGTTAATGATATGCCATTAATAAAATTGCATCGAAACCAGTATTTAATCGTGCTTTCGTTAGTAACTTACGTAAAAATATTTCAGTAAGGTTCCCTGTCTAGACAGAAACTACCGTCTATTATTTTCGCAACTTACAATTATGTGTTGAAAAGTAACGGATAGGAACCGATAAATTCAATCAGCTACTGCTTTTGCTTAGCTACAGACAGTACCGCACCCACTGAGTAGGGTAATCTATAGCTTCTTTGTTTTCCCATTAATCTTTTGCTAAGAATTGCAGTTCGGAATGGACTGGTCTTGGTGATGATTAGATGGACTATCCTTCAGCTCTGATAAGGTTCTAAATTAAATTTTTTATTTGATATAGGACAAAAAAAAGTTTAATGAGATGCTGGAACTAATAATAGTATGCCTAATAACAGATTTGCAAAATAGACGTATTTCACAAAGTAAGTTAGTAAGAGCGGAGAAAAAAGTAAAAGACATTGTGTTGAGTGTATATATCGGAGAATTTCAGATACGACCTATAATACGGAATACTGCTTTGTTTCTCATGCCTTAGATTTGTTTCCGCTATGCCGCTACTTTTGCACAGTACTTGACCTTGTGAAAAATATTATATACAAATAAGTATATTGGATATGAGTTCTTTGAAGGATAAGCTGAGATGCCGAAAGGTAGACTGTCAATATTCTCAGAAAACTTTTATTAGTATATATTTCTCCGGTCTTCTAATTGGAAGTGGGACCACGTAAGGAATTTTGTTTGTAAGTTTAAGTTACCGTAATTATGACAAGTTTAAAATGCATGTATGAATAATAAAGTTAATTAACGTACTTGAAATAGGCTGAGTATAAAGGTTTATGCTTATGTATCCGCTATTTAGGTTCGGCTAAAGCAAGCTTTGTCTTGATCTTAAATTTGGTGGGCTATTTCTTTTTCAGAATTCAATCTTATAAAGGGACTTAACTTGTTTGCATCATTACGAATACAAATTGCCTGTAAACTGTCCAACGGTCATTTTGTTGCTCAGTATTCAATTTAAATGATGGTGTTGATGATGGGTATTTTAGTACCGTATATGCTAACTATTAGAAATGCTATTCGTTGTAAGTTAGACGTAATGTATAGCATATGGTTAACTAGAAATTGTAAAATATAAATCTTATGTCAGTTATTCGAATATGAATTTTGTGAGTTTAATAGTTATAAAATTCAAAACTGTATTGGGCAAATGTTTTATTCACAAATTTTGTGGCGATATCCGGAAGCGTAGACAAATTTCTTTATTTGTATTTAATTTAATGAAGATAAGACAATTTTACAATATTCGTTTTCAGATCTATATCTAAGCAACAATAAGGGATGTCTTACGACAATTTTAGCCCGATCGCATATTGTAGTTAAATTTGGGCTGATTAACTTAGTACCATAATCATTTAATTAATAAATTAGCCGGAATAAATTATCGGAAGCATAGAATTGAATAATGTAGATAGTATTCTTATATCTGTGTAGAAGTAAAGAGGATATGTTGCGGCTACTAGTAGCAATCATTAATGAAAGGATAGCTATTGGTCATTAGATTATCAATGATGGCTTGTAAGTGAAATAGGTAGGGTAAGTAATTTGTAACAAAAATTTACCTTCATTTGTCTAAATATGGCCTGATTTCAAATCGAACTTTGCGATGGGGGGATTAAAACTACTACAAGAAATTAACGCTATAAGTCTACCGTCACGTTTATTTCCGGTATTTACCTACCGTAAAACTCTAAATATTGAGGATCTCCCATCGTCAGAAGATTACGGGTAAACTAGATTTCTTTCATAGACAAATCTTATTTCTACTTAAAAATCGGTTGGGTTATAGCAAG